TGTTTTTCAATTTCCTCTTCTCTCCATGTGGCTAGTTAAGAAAAATTTACTGTGGGAAACCCACCTTCCCTGGTGCAGGTCTATGAACATTTTTCTGGCCGTGTAGTTTATATGGCTTATATGTTACAATATCAAACTTCATTTTCTCACTAGCAAGAGATTATTACTAAAGCCATCTGCATTCACCTGCTCTAACAGGCAGGATTCAGCAAACTTTAAGCCACGGAGCTGTATGAAATCTTTTGTCTTTGCTGAAGAGAAGATGGGGTAACACAGGACATGAAGGATGCAAACATTGTAACATTGTATAAGCACAAAGGAGACCGGGGCGACTGCAGTAACTACCATGGCATCTCTCTTCTCAATGTGGTAGGGAAGCTGCTTGCCCGTGTTGTGCTGAAGAGGCTCCAGATGCTTGCAGGTAGAGGCTATCCAAAATCACAGTGTGGATTTCGAGCTAATAGATCCACCACTGACATGGTATTTTCCCTCAGACAGTTGCAGGAGAAATGCAGGGAACAGCGGCAGCCACTCTTTGTGCCCTTCATAGATCTTACAAAGGCCTTTGATATGGTTAGCTGAGATGGCCTTTTTAAAACATGTTCCTTAAAACATAAGATTGATAAGAGAAAGGTATAAAACCAAAAAAAATCTTCCTATCAAAGTGCCTCAGATCCCCTTAGAAGTTTTAAAGTAACTAGAAAATATGATTTATTTTACCTAAAAGGAACTTTAATGGCTTGCTACAATATTTAGTGCAATTTGATAACCACTTGTTACATTGCTTGTTACCCAAAAATTAAGTAGCTACATCTAAGGTCTTGCCAAATGTTTCAAAGATGGAAATTTATAGTAATCACAGGTAACAAATAAGACGTATTTCTCTTTTCTTTTCAGTAATGGTCTTGCTCAGCTTATCTGTGTGTCTGGCTGTATGGTTGCAGCAACCCACGGTTAAGGTAAGGCACGTGTGAATTTATATAAAACAGGAAATTCAAAGACTGTTTCGCCACAGCTTAGCAAAATCATTGTTTTGAACTACAGTTCCCAATATCCCCAGCTAGCATGGCAGGTGACCACACTACCCAGAGATCTGGAAAATTATTGTCCAAAATGTAACTTTCTTAAGCTGTAGCTAATCAATATGAGCCAATAAGAACAGGTACCCAGTGTGGTTGTAGTCACTGTAGCGGATGGAGTAATGGACTAGGACTCAAGAATCTTGTGTTCAAATATGCACTCAGCCGTGGAGATTCACTGGCACGATAGTACTTATAAAACCCCCTCCTTAAACATCTCACATACCTTAAAAACCTATGAGTCACCATAGCTTGGATGCAACATGATACTACTTCACACACACAATAGTCTAGAAAGACATATTTGTGCAAAGCTTCCTGTAACAGCAAAGGGAACTTCCAACTTGACAATCTCAAAAAGGGTATGGAAAAGTACTGTAGATAATAATTTTCCCCTAAGTAAATTTCACCAGTAAGCATATATTATCCATTATTTTATATCTTTCTTTTAATATCGATACAACTTGGTCAACACAATCATCATCTAATCAAGTAATGAAAGTTAAGGGTGGAATAATATCTCTGTTTGCAGGCCTCTAGCCATGTTACTGCTTCAATGAACACTGTCATACACCAGAAGGAAATTGTTGAGAAGCACAATGCCTTGCGGAGAAGAGTGCAGCCACCTGCCCGCAACATGCTGAGGATGGTAAGGTTTATGTTCTGAAAATTTAAAAGAATTGCATGGAGACCTAGTTGTAGTGCCAGAATTTGCTGCATTCATTTCTTAGAAGCAAAAATGCATAATAACTTTATCTCATTAAGTTGTTGCAGAAGAACACTAGACTGGTCTAGATGGTAGGGCAATGGTTAATTAGCACAAAGATATGCAGATAGGACAGATACTGCAATGTTTCAGCTATCTCCATTATCTCATCATCACTAGCTGTAAATTTATTTATTTATTTATTTATTTATTTATTTGTTTGTTTGTTTGTTTGTTTGTTTGTTTGTTTGTTTGTTTGTTTGTTTGTTTGTTAAATATCCTGCCTATCTGGTCGGTTAAGACCACTCTAGGCGGCTAACAGCATAAAAATAGGACAATAAATATATATAAAACAATTTTACATAAAGATAGATATTTCAAAAACTGGGAGCAAACAATGGGGAAGGGAGAAAGGAGGGCATCAGGGATTGACTGGAGGGAAGGCCTGCCGAAACATCCATGATTTTAGTTGATTTTTAAAGATACCCAGCAAGTATTTATGGAGGTTCTTTGCTCCTCCCCTTAAGAGTTGCAGTTGTAAGGATAAAATATTCCTAATAAATACATTAATGGTGGTGTACAACTAGAATTGGAGAATCCCGGATTCAGGACCCTGCTCTACCATACTGGGTAATCTGAGGCCAGTCTCTATCCCCCAGATCAATATTCATTTAAAACACTGGTGGGGAACAAGTTTTGTGATCTGACCTGTTAGGGTAATAGCAATCTTGAATCCAGTAACATAATAGCAATCTTGAATGCAGTAACGCTGAGTATCAGTAGTAGGGGGCTTTTACAACCTAATGTAATTGTCCTTTGCCAGTAACCACATTGGTAACATTCTTTTATCACCTTTGGAATTTGAGACATGTCCCCTCCCTCTCTTCCTGTTTGTTTTCCTGCTTCCATTGTCTTTGTTGTTGATACCTTCTTCCTTTTCTGACCTACAAACAAGCAACAAGCATGGGAGGCTCTTCCATTTGGTAGAGACTCTATTTTCCCCTTTTTATCCTTCTGAATGTAACTACAGATGGTAACTGTAAGTAAAGGTACATTTTCTACTTTAAACGCTTCTTGAGTATTTTATCAAAGCAAAGTGCTAGTCTGTGGGGAAAAGAAACCAAAGGAGTGAGCAGAAACTGAGAGTGAGCAGATCTCTCCACATTTTTCTCTGTGCTGCTGCTGTTTTTTCTACTGCATACTCTGCCAACTGAAAGGAATACCCAAAATTCCCCAGATGACCCACATCTCACTTCTCTGACCACTTGTGGCCATGTAATGTAGTCTTAACACATGTAACATTGTTTTGTAGTTTACTGACAGTCTCTTAGTGTTAAGGAGTTAGGACATGGTCCTGAAGATACAGTAGGCAGTCACAAAGGAGACCTATGAGTGTGCTTGCTGGGAAATTTCTAGAGGCTCTACTTAATAAAATTATCTTTGGCTTGCTCTCCATATCGTTTTTGAACCCTAAACAATTGCAGACTGGATAGTGTTGATGGGCATAACCAAGTCCCCTGACATTTTGTAGCCAGGGACCCTGTTTCGTTCCTTCCTCAGCTTCCCCATGTGAGGAGACAATGAAGGGATGGCAGACTTCAGTCATACCCAAATGCAAACTAAAGGGGTGTGCTTGAAGTTGGTGTGCAGATTTGGGAAGCTTCTTCCACCCCCTAGTTTTCCTTCATTAGCTTCACTGGTGAAACCAATTGGTAGTCTTCGGGAACACCTCTGCGGCCAGCACATGGGCCTGGGAAGCTTTGCATGGCCTGTGCTTTCCTCCATCAGAGAAAATGCAGAGCAGAACAAAGTACCTATTATTCTCTTTGATTGGAGATACAAATATTCCTTCCTTGTGCTTTGGTTCAGATTGGGAGGATGTATACCTGGGAAGGACGCCCTAGTTTGGGGACAGTGGGGGTGAAGAGGGGCTTAGGAAGGGGGACGGACACCTCTGGACTGTATGCTGGCTAGCCTGGATCTGCTCATGCACTTTGGATGGAGGTTCTTTGCGCCTCCCCTTAAGAGTTGCGGCTGTAAGGATAAAAATGGACAGCAGGAAAATCAAGGGCATCAGGATGCCATACGTATCTTATGTATTATCACAATATTGTTATTTGGTATAATTTTATGATAAATCCCTAAACAGGACCAGTCTCACAATGAAGCAGAGGGAGAAAGTTACCTCATGCAGAAGATGCTGGCAGGTACACAGATAGTGCCCGTTCCCCATCTGCTATGTTGAGAAACAGAGCTAGGTGTAGCAGGCAGCCTGTTACTCTCACTCCAACCTAAAATGGTACCCTGAAGTGTAGTGAAGGATTATGTTTCATAATTTTCCCATTGTGTTGTGCATTGTTCTGCCCAAATAATTTGTATGATAAAATTACACCCAAAGGTTGTGTAATATGCACATTACATGAGTCTACAGCCTGGGTATAACAATTTGGGGGCTTAAAAATATTTTTAATATTAATGTTTTGCTTTATTTTCCCTATCTCCAATGATTTTCTAAAGCAGGTTTCAGTAGTTTTTCAAGATACAGAAGCCAGATCAGCAGTAGCAACTCAAATGTCTATGGACAAATCTTACTAAAGCTATCAAAGGGGATAAATTAAAATATAGAGTATTTAACTTCTTCCCAAGTAAATTTGATCTGATCACAATTCTACCATCTTACAATGCACTAACATTGTCATATGACGTGTAGGAATGGAACATAGATATTGCAAGAAACGCCAAGCGGTGGGCAAGCGAATGTGCTTTCAAACACAGTTCAGCAAGGAGCAGAACAATACGTAAGTTAAAAGGCTGGTCTTCGGAAAACGGGTATTCCAAGACATGACACAAACTGAAGGCATAACATATAGTTTTCTGTTAGTCTGTGCCTCCTCATGGAAGGTTGCTTTCTCCCAACCACATGGAACTCTGCAGACCCTATGGGGGAGGGTGCAGTCCCCTGTTCTGAAGAGGGGGAGCTTCCAGGAAGTGACATAAGCCATTTTAAGGAGAAAGCTGTGATAAAAATATTTTTTTAAAAAAAAGAAAAAATAAATAATAATTTCTTGCTTGAATTTGTTAAAAAAAATTCCTCTTTCAAAAGTTCTAAATTCTTTGGAATATTTGTACTCCAAAATCTAATAAATTTTCAGACATTAAGATCCATTTTTTCCTAATTATCTTCATACAATTAAACAACATCTTATTTACATCAATTTATCTGTTTTGTTGTCCTCCACATTCTTTCTAGTGATTTTACTTGATCCATAACTATTAATGGATTTTATGTAGTTAATGAAATATATTCATCAAATAAACTAATCTTAATTCTATCTGTAAAATCTATACCACAAATTAATTTATCTTCTCTGGTGATAACATTTGCTATTACTAAAGCAAATGATATTGGGGAAAGGGGGCACCTTCATCTAACACCATAACAAAGAGATATCTGTTCTGCTATATCATTTACTAGCACAATTGCAATATCTCTGCATATAATTGATTTTATACCTTTAAATTGCTCCTCATAAACTAATGTTTTTATTACAATTTTTCTCTTAAACTACAACATAAACATAAACATAAAATACATAAACCAAAATACAAATCAACTGTGTTCCCCATCACCATAGTCGGGACCTCTTGCAGTAATCCTCTTCTTCCTCTATCTTTATTCTTCTTCCTTTATTGTCTTCTTCAAAACTGCGTTGATTCTTGATTTGTAGCTTTCCCTTTTCCTCTTGTTAGCACATATTCAAGAAATCATAGAAATTATTCTTTTTCATCTCTCCTTTCTTAACCTTTAAGTTACCAGTTAACTTATCATTTATAGCAATGTTCCATATTTCATTATACCATTCTTCCATTCGAAATTCAGACCTTGATTTCCAATTCCTAGCTATTATTAATCTGGCTGCTGTTAATAAATTGGTAATCAATTCTCTAGTCATTTTATCATATTCCATATTCTCAAATATTCATATCTTTTTCTCATAAGGTGGGACGTGGTGGCGCTGCGGGCTAAACCGCAGAAGCCTGTGCTGCAGGGTCAGAAGACCAGCAGTCGTAAGATCGAATCCACGCGACTCAGTGAGTGCCCATCGCTTGTCCCAGCTCCCACCAACCTAGCGGTTCAAAAGCATGCAAATGCAAGTAGATCAATAGGTACCACCTCGATGGGAATGTAACAGTGCTCCATGTCTAAGTCGCACTGGCCATGTGACCACGGAAGATTGTCTTCAGACAAAACTCTGGCTCTATGGCTTGGAAACGGGCATGAGCACCGCCCCCTAGAGTCGAACACGACTGGACAACAATTGTCAAAGGGAACCTTTACCTTTACCTTTTTTTTCTCATATGTCATTTAGTTCTTTAAAGATTAGTTTCCAAAATCTTTGTACTTTTCGCATTCCCACCACATACGAAAGTATGTACCAATTTCCTTCTCACATTTCCAACAGACAGTCAGATAACTAGCGTTAATTTTATTCGATTTTGTTGATGTCAAATACCATCTTAAACCCATCTTAATTTTTTTCTCTTATTCTCACCTTATTACCATTTTTAGTGTTGGCTAATGTTCCACACAATCAAACGCCTTAAAGGTATATAATGAGACTATTCCCATCTTAATATTTAGTTTTCTTATGACATTTATGATATTTAATACTCTCCTTGTCAGATCTACCATTTGACTTCCAATTATAAAACTACTTTGATCTTCTTTAATATATTTGCAATGAAAACATTCGTTTTCTTTTTTAAAAACTGCTGTATGTATCTTAGCATCTTGTTTTATTAATGAAATAGTTCCGTAAGCTCTAGGGTCAGTTGGGTCCTTATTTGCTTTTGGATATCACCTTATTACCATTTTTAATATTGGCTAATGTTCCACACAATCAAATGCCTTAAAAGTATATAATGAGACTATTCCCACCTTAATTTTTAGTTTTCTTATGACATTTATTATATTTAATACTCTCCTTGTCAGATCTACCATTTGACTTCCAATTATAAAACTACTTTGATCTTTAATATATTTTGCAATGAAAACATTCGTTTTCTTTTTTAAAACTGCTTTCTTTTTTCTTTCTTTTTTAAAACTTAGCATCTTGTTTTATTAATGAAATAGGTCCGTAAGCTCTAGAGTCAGTTGGGTCCTTATTTGCTTTTGGTATTGATGCAAGTAATTAATGTTTCCAAGATAACGGAATAGTGGTGGTATTTCTTTCCTTGTCTCAGGTGGCAGAAGAGTACAGATTGGCACTAGTTTGGAATCAGTAGTAAAATTTGTCTCCAAGTGAGACATTAACATTCTTGGTAAGACAATAATGTACTCTAGAAAAGAGACAAGGACGTAGCTGATATTAATGCCACTTTTCCTGAAGTAATTACATTCAGTTGCTGAAGTAGGCAAGCTCTCAAGCTATTTGTTAATAACTCTATTTCTGTTTTTAGAAGACAAAAGCTGTGGTGAAAATCTCTTTATGTCAAGTCGGCGTCATTCTTGGTCTAGGGCCATTCAGACATGGTATGATGAAGTAAAATTCTTTCGGTACGGTTTTGGACCAACATCAGAAAACCGTGTAATTGGCCATTACACTCAGGTAAAAGACTGGCCACACAATGTCAATGTACTTCCTTTTATAAGTGTATCATTGCTAACTATTTGGGACACGGTGAACATGAACCTATCTTTTTTTGGAAGGAGCAAGCTAGCAAGCAAAGGTATCAGTTCTTCCAGTGCAAGGCAATTGATCCTGTATTCGTAACAGACTGGAGCAATGCTGAGACTTTATACAGTGGTGCCTCACTTAGCGATGTTAATCGGTGCAGCAAAAATTGCAGCTAAGTGATTTCATTGCTAAGCGATTTTAAAAAGCCCATAGAAACGCATTAAAAAGCGTTTAATGCATTCCTATGGGCTTAAAACCTAACCTTATGCGAAAATCCTCCATTGTGGTGGCCATTTTTGGTACCTCTAAAGCGAGGCAAAACAGCAGGCAGCCATTTTGTTTACCCGGCGGCCATTTTGGAACCGCCAATCAGCTGGCCAAAAATGGGTGCTTTGCGATGATCTCTTCCCTGTGATCATCGCAAAGCGAAATTTTCCCATAGGGGCCATTGCAAAGCGATCGCTCTTGCGATGGCAAAAAGTCCATCGCAAAGCTATTTCATCGCTATACGGAGCAATCGCTATGCGAGGCACCACTGTATTGACAGAAGCTGCCACTAAAATTAAAGTGTGTTCATTTTATTTATTAGCTGTAATTTTTGCCATATTTCCATTTCACCTATCTTCCAGTAAGCTCATGGTAGCATATGTACATGACTCTCCTCTTACCCACTTTATGCTCATAACAACTATGAGGAGAGTCAGGCTAAGAAGATGTGATTGATCCAAGGTTACCCAATGAAAATCATGGCCGAATGGGAACCTGAACCCAGACCTCATGAGCCCTAGTTCAGTATTAGAACTGTTACTCCACACTAGCTCTTTCAGTTGCAAAAGACAGGGGAAATCTGCACAAATCGAAAATACAAGAACAACAAAAGAAAAACAGGGCCCCTGGAAACACTGGCAAAGCACATATATCTGAGTCTGTGCTGGTGACATCTACACACTGCCCACACATGGAGTGAGCCACTAAACTCATAATGGTAGTGACACATCTCCGGCATACACGATGCACAAGTAGTGACTGAATGTGCCCACATTATAGATCCCTCTGATACTGGCAGCAGTGGTCCCCAACTTCCCTTTAAGCAGGACTTGGAATTCTCTGCACAGATGCGGAGTGAGCAGCAGCAGTGATAGGCACCAGCCTCTCTGTCCATCTCTTTTGCCCACCAGAAGAGCCCTATCATGATGTCAGTTGAAACAGGATTTTTATTCACCTCTCCATCCTATTAAAGAATGACACACATCATAATGAGAAAACCTTCCACAATCACAATTCCACAATTACTAGTCCTGAAGTGATGGAGAGGGCATATTTATGAAACTGCCAGTCAATCGCTTTGTTTGGTTTTGAGAAAAAGCAATACTGGCTAGCTGTGCATTCCATCACAAAAGGAGGGGAAGCACAGCCTCAAACCATCATTTAAGCATATTAAGCTCTCTGCCACATTAAGAAAGGACATGGGAGGAGTTTGTGAGATGAAACGACAAACAGTTCTGCAGCTAATGCTGTACACAGAAGTGTGGCCTTGTGTAGATATCTTTTCTAATTTAGTTTCAGATTGTCCATAGTAAGCATTTATAAAGTGACTACTGTACATTCATATTTTTGTGTGCATCTGCAGGTGATTTGGTATAATTCATACCAAGTGGGATGTGGTATCGCCTACTGTCCTTATCAGCCAGACTACAAGTACTTTTACGTTTGCCAGTACTGTCCTGCGTATGTATCCATTAAAAATGTACAATTTCTTGGTGAAACAATTGTTTTCACATATGACACAAGAACATTTAAGTTCAGAGTTGCAGTTGTTCTTATGAATTATCAAGTTGTTTCTATGATGATCCATTGAATTAATGTCATTAATGGCCTTACTTGGACCTTGCAAACTCAAGGCCCTGGTTTCCTTTATTGAATCCATCCATCTCATGATCAACTTTTATTTTTTCCTCTTCACTTCAATTTTCCCAGTATTATTGACTTTTCCAGAGAGTCTTGTCTTCTCACGATATATCCAGAGAACTATAGCTTCAGTTTAGTCATTTCTATTTCTGGAGAGAGGTTGGGTTTTATATGATTTAGCACCCACTTATTTATCTTTCCGGCAGTCCGTGATATCCATACAGCTCTTCTTCAACATTTGTAATGCATTGCTTTAGTCCCTACCAGCTTTCTTCACAGTATAGGTTTGTAGATCCAGGTGTATAATTTCTCCTGCAGGCCCCACAGCTTTCAGTAACACACAACATTGACAAGTTATACCTTTTTTTTCAGAATAAAATGTAAGTGGATAAAACTGGAACATAGCTTGCATTGATTGCAGCAAGAAAGCATTGGTGCAGCATCAGGAGCGAATCCCAGCATCAGGGTGACCTGATTGTCAGCTGATGCCAGCCTCCCAGCCCCCTTTGTTCTGAGTAACTAATACTGGGTGGCCCTATGTGAACATGAATAACTCCTGGGTACAAAACCATTAGGGGGAGACCCACTGCCACCTATTGTGGAGAACTGTGGCAGAATCCCTGAGCCAGACACATCCTTTCTAGTCTTCCCCCTCCTCCAAAATTCCTGATCCCCATCTGAGAGGATCTCTTTGCCTGAAACATGGTCAACCACTCATCTCCTTTGTCCAGGATCTGCTCCTATGTGCAAAACCACTACTAGAAGCAAGCCAATATTGTCCCAAGCCTGACTGCCTCCAGCTAATCTGTTTCCATTGCAGTCACTCCAAGAGACCCTACCAGATGTCCCCCAACCACTGTTCCTGCCCCACATCTGAAAGATGAACCCATAATCCCTAGAAAAAAAGGCAGCCTTGGTATGCACTTTGTCCCAGTGGTGGATCCACATTTCACCAGTACATGACCAGCTGCTCAAGTGATCTTACGTATAGCCAAGTCTACCTTTGCCAGATGCTGGGCTCCACAAAACACTTGTTTCCCCAGTATGTCTGATCAAAGCAAGGTCACTATGGACATCCACAGTCACAGCAGTGTGAGATAATCTTCTGTGCTGAACGTAAAATCCAGGTTCTTATGAGCTGGCAGGTCATTCTCACCTAATTGATGCATCAATGCAGGTTGCCCCTCAACCAGAAAACTATGATCAGTTTGTGACTGGGCTCATTCCTCCATATTGAGAGGATGCTGGACCAACTACATCCTTTTAGTGAACATGCAGTAAAAGGCATTGAACGAAGTTCAATGCGTTTCTATGGCTTTTTTATTCCCGTTTAGCGATGTTTTCGCATAGCAAAGGTTAATCCGGAACAGATTAACCTCGCTATGAGAGGCACCACTGTACATCCTTTTAGTGAACATGCAGTAAAACCTGGGAGAATTTTGATCTTCATTCTTACAGAAACAAAAAGATCTCACTGGATAGAGACTGTAGTGGAGTTCAATCAAGTAGCATCCAGAAAGCTTGGAGACTATTGAAAAGACTGAACAATGATCCAAACAAAAGGACACTGTATGGAAATATAACCTCAAACCAAAAAAACCACCAACTGTTCCTGGCAGGGAAGATCAACCAAGGTGTAATAAAAATAAAACATCAAAGAGATATTCAGAGTGATTCCAATGAAATTTTTCCTGCCTTCATATTGGAGGAAGCCATAAGATGATGTAGGAATGGCAAAGCAGTGGGACTCAATGATACTTAATTCAAGCAAATTAAACATTTTGGGCAAAACATAATGGAATGGCTCTTTCAACTCTTTAATACAGTAACTGCTGGACAAGCAAACAAATCCCTAAAATATGTCAGAATACAAAAATACTATTAATTCATCTAGCCCCTCAAATTGAACCTCTTCTAATTCCACGAGAAGCAGGCAAAAGATGTATAGCTCAAATCTTAAATTGTACCCAGTATTTAAAAGGTGTGTTTAGGAGCAGCCTTTGTCGACCTTATAGTGATATATGATACTGTCCATTATCAATTGCTGCTCAAAAAGCTCTACTTTCTTACTAACGATCATGAACTAACAGAAATGGTTGCTGTTCTACTATTTTTTTCAGTTTTGAAGATTCTTTGTTGAATTTCACTTAAAAGTTGGTTCTGCCCTCTGCTTACTACACTTCACATGATCCTTGTCCTCACGTTCCTCCTTCTCCCCTCCTCCATCTCAGGGTGCAACAATGAAAACATGTCAATATAGCAATCACTGAAAATATGCTCCCTAACTCTGCAGGACAGGTGCAAGCTGGGATGGGGGCAGTTTCCTACACTGTCATCTACAGTGTACACTGCTGATGTTTCTTTCCACCCTCTGGCCTGTTTGGGATGCTTTAATGCCACTTAACAACACTCCCACAGAGGATTCTGAGCTAAGCCTGTAAGCTTCAAGTCTATTACATCTCAACCCTTGCTGGAAGCAAAGGTGCAGGTTGTGATATAAATAAATAGAGTGAAAGCAACGACGATAATGATGGTGGGAGAAAACAGAGGCCCAAAGAAGTCCTGGTAAGAGGGAGTTCAAAGGCACCAAGTTCATCAAGTTTCTTCTGGGCGCTGTCAAGCAGTACAAACTCTTGAAGAAAAAGCATATACAGCAATCACTCTAGATGGAGAGAAAGAACCAAAGGCTCTGTATGACGTGGTGCCATGCAAATAGTTCAAAGAAACACCAGTTGGGGGAAAATAATGCTTCTTGCTGATTCAACCTTTACAAGTGGGAGTTTCGGATATAAATCAAATAAATAAATAAATAAATAAATTCAGCCTTTACAAGTGGGAGTTTACTGGAGATGATACCAGCAGTGGTCAACTCATATGTTTGGGAGCACACAGACGCCAGCCACTTACACCTAATGGGGTCCCTCTACCAGCAGTGGTCAACTCATATGTTTGGGAGCACACAGACACCAGCCACTTACACCTAATCCTCAGGGGTCCCTCTGTTTCTCCTTGGTAAAAGCCCCCTCCCCTTGGTCCAATGATAGGAAGTGCATCTATCAGTATTTTCTAACTGGTATAAAAGAGAGGTTCCTGGAGCATTGTAACGAGGATATCTCTCCACAGCCCTGGATGTATTAACACCGCTAACTGCATGATATATGTTTCCATTTGACATTCCAGAGGGAACCGGGCAGACATCATGAACACTCCCTATAAAACAGGAAAGCCATGTGAGGACTGCCCAAATGCTTGTGACAAAGGATTATGCAGTAAGTTGGACTATCAAGAGACAAAAAGGTGGTCATGTACAGAGGTACTCTTAGATAGGTTTGTGAAATTAGCCAACCAATCTACAAAGATAAAAATCATAGCTTGTTCATAAGCACTATAAAACACTGATAACTATTAACTGTAGAGTTCTCTTGTTATCACTCAAATCATCATATTCACAATCATCACCACCACCACCAATCAACAGAATCCTATTGGTTACCAGCATACGTCCAGTGACAGAAATCTACAGCCGCCCCAAGTAGACGTTGTCTAGAGGGGCGGGGTAGAAATCAAATGAATGAATGAATGAATGAATGAATGAATGAATGAATGAATAAATAAATAAATAAATAAGTAAATAAATAAGTAAATAAGTAAATAAGTAAATAAATAAATAAAGCTGCAAATTGCTGCTGGTATCCCTCACCACGAACCAGCCTTGCAAATTGGTGCATGGCAAGAGATGCCAACAACAGCTCATTCAGGAGAGCAATTTTACACCGCAGTGTATACCATTGCACTTATGCTAGCATAATGTACCAAGGAGAAGAAAAAGAGTTTTACAGAAGCAATTCTAAATGTAAATGACTTGCTAAATTTCTATGATCTGCTATATCAAAGGAATTTGGAGATTCTGATTTATAGATCATAAAAGCAAATATTTTGGTTTTTGAAACTCAGGACCAAAGATTATAATGTGGAGACATGTCCAAAAAAATCATAATAATTATATAAGATGGTGCCTTCATGCCCCCTCTAGGGAGATCGGAGTACTGTAGCTATGTTTTGCTCCTGTTGAAAACAAAGCACTGACTAGAGAGATGATTTCTTAAACAATCGGGTTCTCTTTTTTTTAATGAGCTGGATAGTTTACTCTATGTATTGTTCATTTTCCAGTGTAGGTAGCACTAATGTTTTGTTTTGTTTTGTGTTTAGCCAATCCATGCAAGTATATGGATAAATTCCGTAACTGTCCAGATTTAAAGAATCGGTGGGGATGCAACCATCATCTAACAAAAGACTGCAAGGCTTCTTGTAAATGTACCACAGAAATAAAATAAGGCTCCAGAATAAATTGCCTGTGCCAGTCATCTCCCTGTAGTCGAGCTATAACATTGACCTTTTACTTTATTAAGACGATCATTTAAATTTGAGTATCACTCGGAAAATATTGTGCACATCTACAGTTTTATAAACTAATTATCTCTTTTTTAAAAAAAACATATTTCTTTTTCAATATCTCTTTCCATGCCATACTTTCTGCTTATTTAAAAAAAAACATATTTTACATATTTGCCTTCTTTTATGCTCTATAATGAAATTTACTGAAGTAATTAAGTTTCTGATTCTGTTCAGATTATAACGTTTTTCTATGTTGAGACACAGCAGTGCTCCTAGCGTGTTGAAAGGCAGATCAGGGATTTGATCTACAATGGATGAAGTTACATGTAGGGTTATCATAATATTTGTTTAGCTGGAAACAACCACCACCACCCTGGGTTTTAGAGGTGCCACCAGGTACCCATTCAGATAGAAAGCAAAGTGTAGAGTCGGTGATTTGTCCTAATGTTTTTGAAGGGAAAATTCTTTAAAATGATGGCGCAAGAGCTGAGTACACAGTAACACCACACACAAAGAACAAAGCTGCTAGACTCAAAGAAAAGAAAAGAAAGCATCAAGTAGTGTCTGGGAGGGAAAGTCTCCTCATAATAGTTCTGTGTTGGGATGGCTTTAACTGTATTTTTTGCCTTTATTTGTTTGCTGGTGCTTTTTGTTTTCTTGAAGCAAAAAAGAACAATCCTCATTTGGCTCCAGCACTGTCTACAGAATCAAAATTCTGACTGCCTGTTGAGAGCCTCACCAGTCACACCACCAGGTCTTTAAAATAGCTCTTGCAACACAATTGGATAGAAAATTTCTCAGGCAGTTTAACACAAAGTAGGACAGCAAAAAGTTACTTGAAAGAGGGAACATGAAAGAAACACAAAGCTTTCATGTACCCATTTTAAATAAATATAAATCGATCATATTTAATAGTTTCTGTCTCCACAATTGCTGAAAGATCATGAATTCTAAGAGAGATGTTTTTGTGTTTTGAGTCTTTTGTATAAACATGAAAAGCACATTGCTAGCATAGAATCACAGGAAAGTGAAGTTGGAAGGGGCCTACAAGGCCATCAAGTCCAACCCCCTGCTCAATGCAGGAATACAGTCAAAGCACATCTGCCTAGTGATAATCTAAGTTTTGTTTGAATGCCTCCAGTGTTGGAGCACTCGCCAGCTCCCAAGGTAACTGGTTCCACTGTAATACCACTCTAACAGTTAGGACATTTTTCTTCAACCGAAATCTGGCTTCCTTTAACCTGAGCTCATTGCGGCGTGTCCTGCACTCTGGGGTGATTGAGAACTGATCTTGTCCCTTCTCTGTATGACAGCATTTCAAATACTTGAAAAGTGCTATCATATCACCCCTCAGTCTTCTTTTCTCAAGGCTAAGCATGCCAAATTCTTTCAGCCTTTCCTCATAATGCTTGGTTTCCAGCTCCCTGATCATCCTTGTCGCCTTCCTCTGAACTTGTTCCAATTTGTCAGCATCCTTCTTGAAGTGTGGTGTCGAGAACTGGACACCATACTCAAGGTGAGGCCTAACCAAGGCTATCCCTTGATCGCATCCCTTGATCAAATTCTATCATTCCAATCATTGCACTTTATACTAGCTGCCTCAAATCAGTGGTCGCTGTATGAATGATTTCAAAGTTAAATATATTAGTGGGAAAATAATGCAATAATTAATGTGCTTAATATTGAAAATTCACAATAGTTAGCCTATTATTGTCATGACCTCATCAGGGTAGTTCTCCAGCAAGGATGAACCTGAGGAACCTGAGCATGATGTGCAGATCAGCCTCCCTGGATTTCAGGAACTTAGATAAAAATAGAATGCAATGAAGGCCTGTTTTATATTTATGGGCTGATCCCAGTATGGGCATACTCCTACATGCAGCCCTAAATCAGGATGGGCGTGTGTCAGCAAAGGTCAGGAATATACGTCTGAGGATTGTGGAACAGGTACTGTATGCTTGTTACTTCAGATGTCTCATCTGGCCATGGTGGCATTATATGCTGCAACACACTATAAAACTCTCCATGCAGGGCTGCCTTTGAAAAGTGTTCAGAAACTTCCATCAGTCTAATTGGGTGCAGCCAAGCCGTGGACCTCAGCCAGTTACAGGCAGCATATAACTCCATTGCAATGATAGCTTCCCTGCTGCAGCTCTGTTATCCAGCCACCATTCAAAATGTTGATTATTATCTTTAAGAAGTACTGTATATCAGCGGTCACCAACCATGGACCTCCAGATGGTCTTGGACTGCAACTCCCAGAAATCCTGGCCAGCAGAGGTGGTGGTGAAGGCTTCTGGGAGTAGTAGTCAAAGAACATCTCGAGGGCCAAGGTTGGGGACTACAGTTGTATATGAACCTGGAACCAGACTATCAGAAGGACTCTATTCTCCCATTAAAGACTGCCCACACTTTGAGATCTTTAGGGGAGTCTTCCCCCCACACACACACACACATACCAGTCCCACCATCCTTGAGGGCATATTTGGTGCAAACAGGAGAGGCCGCTTTCCCGGCATATTACTCTCAGGCTGTGGAGGACAGGATAGCCCAGCTCCCACTTGCTTGTCTTTCTGCCAGACGTTTTTGTTCAGAGAGCCTTTTGACAATTGATTAGTTGCTGAGAAAGAGCTTTTTTTGTTGATACATTTAAACTATGTTTTTAATTTAATTAAATATTGATTTGTTTAACAGAATCTGTTAAAAGAGAAAAAATGGGTATAAATCTATCACATAGATAAATGGCTAGGAAGTGAAAAAATGTGATCATTAGGTGTACCAAGTTATTCATCGTCTTAGAATGTTCACCTGATTTCTTTTTTTTCTCTTTTTCTCTTTTTTCTTCTTTTTTTTTTTTACAGCAAATATATTTTTGCAGAAAGACATTCTCCCACCCTGTCCCCCTGGGGACATATATTTCATTTGTTGCAAAACACAAATGTGTCTGGCTGTTTTTGTTCCATAGTCTACAGAAAGAACAAATATGACATGTCACAGAAAGCTTAGTGTTGCCTCATAGTTACCTCTGTTTTCATAACTCCCTTCCTGGTGACAGCCAAATGACATATCAGCTTGCTTCTACTTCCTTCAAAGTTCGGTGTGCAGTAAATGCTAGAAAGAACAATGGTTCTTTCACTGTGTACTCAACAAAATCAAAAACCAAGAATGAACTCTGGAAACAAATTTAAAAAAACATCATCCCGATCATTTTGAAAATAAGCATAAATGTAATCTCAACCACCAGAGACAATTTCAGTGTTTCACAATTTACAGCCCGCACTTAATGCTGTGTTCTTAGCATTAATATTTGGTTCTGACGTTACACCAATATTTCTTAATAACATGGAAAACTAATGCTGTCTGAAGAAAGGAAACATAAATTAATGAGTAATTGCTTTCAGAGGAAGGGACAAGTCCGTAGTAGGAGAAACATGCAAATTTCACCAAATAATTTGTACATTACAATAGAAGACAAACTTTAAAACTCTTTTTTAAATGAGGTCACAACGTGCTGTGGAAGTTCTCCACCAGTTGTGAGACCAAAGTAAAGAAAATCCAGAGATTAATATCATACACATTTCACCACAATAGTTATACTTCTTCCAAATTACTGAATCACAGCAATAATTTGCAGCAATAAATTAAGGAATACACCCATAGAATTTACTTAGCTGTTGATTTACTATTCAAGAATTTAATTCAAGGGTTTCAGACTAGCAATAGGATACTGGCCTATCTATATGGTATTTGTACATATGCCTATAGGTCCATGACACACACTTAGGACCTCTGAGGTTCACACAGATCCATATAACAATGACTCTACCTTAGAAAATTCGGTTTTTGGCCAGACCACCCCATGTTGGCTGTGGGATTTTGTAACTGTAACCTGAAAAAGTTTTTCAGGGTGTGCTATTGCTGTTATTGTTTTAAATTGTGTAACCAGATAGCAGGGAATACTTTGAAAATATGACTGTAAAGCCACAATAGCGTTCATGAGAGAAGCAGCACAATATTGACAACAAATAATGTAATGAGAGAAAAACAGAGAGGAAGCCGAATTAGGTCAACCAGTCATCACAGCTGCAAGCTTCCAAGATTGTATGTTTCTTGCTTCTGGGGCAGGGGGAGGCCTCTAAGGGGAGCAGCCCCAAACGAGACCTGTTGCCTTCATATCCTATGTGAAGGGCTCCCACAGGGACTTGGGTGACCAGTGTACAAAATAGGATGCTGAAAGAAAGAGAGCATTGGTCTGATTCATAAGTCTGATATTCTTATGGAGTTCTAGTTTTTCTAGTTTCACACTACAAATCTGGCTATGGATTTGTACACTTTGTGCAAAGATTCCATCTAACCACCCACAATGATTTAGTGGAACAAGAGCTTCAAGGGTTAGAACACCCTTTAAGCTTTTTTGATTAATATGGATGATGACATCATCAGTCGCTGCCATACCACACTTCTCTTTTTCCTCTGAACTTTGCTGCAATTCTCAGAAAACCTACTACAAGAAACAATAACTGAAATCCTACTGCACCATTACACAGGCAGCATGAGTTTCAGAAGTGATTCCTCTAAAATTAAATCAAGAAATCTCTGTAGATATGACTTGTTACATACCGAGTCACATGATTCAGCATGCAACAAATAATGCCTATGGAGATTTCTTAATTTTCAGCAATTTTTTCTAAAAGTCACATTATTTGCATAACTGCATATCAGGATTTCAGCCGGTATATTGTTGTGATCTATTCCTGAAAGCTAAGTATTTGTAGTTCTCTTGAATATTAATGTGCCATTAAGACACGATTTTTCTTCTTCTCTTATGATTAAATTTTCTTTCTCATTTCTTTAACTGTATTTGAATTTTTCTGTTCTTGTTTTTTCATTCAGATGCTTATTCAACATCACCACTCTTATTTACTGTTATTGTTCTAGTATGCTTTTGCATTATTATGACTATAATAAAAAAAATAGAAGGGGAAAAATATAATCTAGTGTGTAATTTACTGAAGTATCTTTGCTGAGAAGTCTGCAATTAAAAATACAGTGATGCCAAAGTCAGGTCTCTGTAACATAACTTAATTTTACTGCGTTCTCATTTCAGTCCCTCTCATATCAAGAAAAAAGCAATGCAATTAACATTGCCAAGAACAGTGAAGAGGGCATCTGACATTATTAAATTAGACAGATAACTTAATCTGATATGACTTCCATCACCTTTTAGGAAACTGCCATGATGGCTGGAGCATTCTGGAGCTGGAGTCCCTAAATGCAAACTTCTCCAAGCTGTACCTCCAGTCAAACTGATAGGACAGGGAATATGTTGTCTTTTATTTCCTTTTTTTAAAGGATGGGCAGTGTCCGCATACGCTACATTCTGGTGAATGCTTTATTTAATATATTCGCGAAGGCTTTCATGGCCGGGATCTAATGGTTGTTCTGGGTTTAGGCTTTTTGGCCGTGTTCTGAAGGTTGTTCTTGCTGACATTTCGCCAGTCTCTGTGGCCATGGGCATCTTCAGAGGACAGCAATTCAGAGGACGGCATCTTGAGAGCACAGGTTGCTGTCCTCTGAAGATGTCGGCCACAGAGACTGGCGAAACGTTAGGAAGAACAACCTTCAGAACATGGCCAAAGAGCCCGAAAAACCCAGAACAACCAATGCTTTATTTATTTTTTAAAAACTGCTGAAGCGTCTGACCATTTTGACAGGCTTTGACTTTAGTCAGAGCCTAGTCTGGAGCTGCAGTAATCTGCATCACAAACAACTGGGGGGAGGTTGCATATGGGTAGCAAGTGCACATAGCATTCAGCATTCCTGTGATGTTTCCTTCATTGCACATCCCTGGAACCCTGTGATGTCAGGCCTAAAACCTCAGACCCAGAGGTGTGCCCATGTGATGTCATTAACTGTGTGATGACAGAGTGGGCAAGGCCTTCTGCATGGGACAGACAGGTTACATGTCAACATAATAGTGAATTTAAAGGGCGGTGTAATCTTAGAACAGCAAAGCTAGAAAGGGTCCTATGGCTCATATAGTCCAGCTCCTGGAAGCACAATGGGAAATCAAACTCCCAACTTCTGGCTCTGCCGCCAGCTCCCTAACTACTAAGTCTTTCTTGGTGCTACCAAGTGCTTCCTTCCCAGAGTCTGCTGGAAGAAATTTGTGGGCTGAACACTGCAACAACCAATGGGAAGCAAATGGAAAAGAAAAGGAACACTGTTTTTTAAACCAGAAGTAGTGGAAATTGAGTTCTCCAGAAGCAACTAGAAAGGGATATACAGTCATGCCAAAAATATTGGCACCCTTGCAATTCTGTCAGAAAATGGAACCCTTCTCTCAGAAAATTGTTGCAGTTGCAAATGTTTTGGAACTCACATGTTCATTTCTTTGGTTTGTATTGGAAAAAAAACAGAGAAGAAAAGTCAAATCTGATACAATCCCACATAGAAACCCAAAAACGCACTGGCCAAAATTATTGGCACCCTGTTTAAATTGTAAGAAATAATTGCTTTTCAAGCATGTAATGCTCCTTTAATTTGTATTTAGACACACCTGTCACAAGTAAGAGGTGTGGGCAATATAGTAATCGCACTTGCAACCAGATAAGATGGAGGAAAGTTGACTCAACCTTTGTGTTGCGTGTGACACTGAGCATGGAGAAAAGAATAAAATGTAAAGAGTTGTCTGTAGATTTCAGAGAAACAAATGTCAAAAAACATCAACAATCTCAAGGCTACAACTTCATCTCCAGAGATCTTAATGTTCCTGTGTCCACTGTGTACAATATCATCAAGAGGTTTACAGCCCATGACACTGTAAGTAACCTCCCTAGTTGTGGACAGAAGAGCAAAATTACTGAAAAATTACAATGAAGGATTGTTCAAATAGTCAAGTTGATCTGCAGACACAGGGTACAACAGTGTCAGCTCGCACTATCTGTCGCCATCTGAATGAAAAGGGACGTTATGGAAGGAGACCCAGGAGGACACACTGCTGACACAAAAGCGCAGCCCATGACACTGTAAGTAACCTCCCTAGTTGTGGACGGAAGAGCAAAATTACTGAAAAATTACAATGAAGGATTGTTCAAATAGTCAAGTTGATCTGCAGACACAGGGTACAACAGTGTCAGCTCGCACTATCTGTCGCCATCTGAATGAAAAGGGACGTTATGGAAGGAGACCCAGGAGGACACCACTGCTGACACAAAGGCGTAAAAAAGCAAGACTGGAGTATGCCAAAACGTATGTGACAAAACCACAATCCTTCTGGGAGACTGTACTGTGGACAGATGAGACAAAAGTAGAGCTTTCTGGTAAAGGACATCATGGCACCATTTACAGAAAAAGAAATGAGGCATTCAAAGAAAAGAACACAGTCCCTACAGTCAAACATGGTGGAGGTTCAAAGATTTTGGGATTGCTTTGCTGCTTCTGGCATTGGATGCCTTGACTGTGTGAACGGTATTATAAAATCTGATGATTACCAAAGAATTTTGGGGCGCAACATAGTGGCCAGGGTCAGAAAGCTGTGTCTCCACCAGAGGTCTTCCAGCAGGACAATGACCCCAAACACACTTCAAAAAGCACTCAGAAATGGTTACAACAAAACACTGGAGAGTTCTGAAATGGACAGCAATTCAGATTCGAAATCCCATAGAACACCTGTAGAGAGATCTGAAAACAGCAATTGGCATTTCTGTGTGGGATTATATCAGATTTGACTTTTCTTCTCTTTTTTGGGTGTTGTTCCAATGCAAACCAAATAAATGAACATGTGAGTACCAAAATATTTGCAACTGCAACAATTTTCTGAGAGAAGGGTTGCATTTTCTGACAGAATTGAAAGGGTCATGACTGTACATCTGTAAAACAGAATTTATATTTGAGTTATCTGTCCTGAGAGTTTGGCCCACAACATCAAAATTTTGGACTATAATTCCAAAAAACCACAGGTAAAATGGTCTATTGGAGATTCTGGGTGCTGCAGTCCAAAAAATCAATGGAGATTCTGGGTGCTGCAGTCCAAAAAAGCAATGTTGTTTGTTTGTTGTTTATTTGTTTGTTTACCGCTCATCTGGCAACCCAGGCCACTCTAGGTGGTTTACATAGCACAAAACATGGTATGAAACAAAACAATACAATAGCAAGACAAAGTATAAATTAATCAATACAAAACTAAACAGATAAAAATAATATCAATGAACAGTAACATAAAAAAAGAAAAAATATGGTGGGGCTGATCAATAAGTTGAATCAAGATAGAGTAGAGTCTTGGAAGGCCTGTCTGAAAAGGAATGTTTTTAATAATTTCTTGAAATTATCTACCTCTGAGAAAGACAAAGAAAACAGCATTGTCAACACATGACTTCCAACAACATCAACAACAACATGCAAGTCAATGAAAAAGACAAAGGTGTTTCTGAGCAAGTCTAAATGGCTCTCCTAAAGACATAACTCCTGATACTCTCCCCACCCCCCAAAATTTAAGATTGCTAGACCAGCAGACTATTCCTGAAATTCCAGGGTTAAAGCAAGGATGCAAACACTTCAGCCCTTTCAATCAACCCTACAATGCCCTAAAAATTGGAAAAGTCCGACGATACCGAAACAAGAAGATCTTATTGAAAAAATACGGAAAATAGCAGAAATGGACATATTATCAGAAGTCATGAAGGACTATCCCCTAAAAAGGCAACAGAAAGATGGGACCTATTCAACAAATGGACTAAATTAACAGGCAACGTGTAAATAGCATATATTGAAATGAGAACTTTATCTGGAAGGCAGAAAAGAGTAAACAGAATAACTTAAAACTTTGATATGGCAATAAGTATAGAATGGTTGTTAGTATGTTATTGTCTCTCCTCTTCCTCATAAATTCCAAGTCCCCTTTTCCTTTTTGTCCCCCCTTATGTTAAAAAAAAATCTTGAAAAAAAATCAACCCTACAATGCCTTAAGGGCCACTGAGCATTATCCATGCTGATCCAACACAGACACAAGAGTCACCTGAGAAGTTTCAACATTCCTGAAACTCAGTAGCTCCCAGTCCTGGGTTGCCAGATGTTCTTGAACTGCAACTTCCAGAAGCCTTCACCACTACCTGTGCTGGCCTGGGTTTCTGGGAGTTGTAGTCCAGGAACATCTGCAGACACATGATTGGGAACCACTGCTGCAGCTGCTACTGTAGCACTGAGGAAATTTGTTCACAGGCCCCTCCTAGATGGATGTTTGAAATAGGCCTTAACTATATGACCTAGTTGGTTTATCTGTGTATTAGCTTACAATCAAAATTGCAAGGGATAATAACAGGCAAAAGTAGTGAACAGAAAATAACAGTTTTAATATTACTGTTGATATTGATATCAATGTGTGGGATAATAAAATGTGATTCAAATGTTACTTTTAAGTCACCTCAGGCTGAGGTAGTGTTTTATGTAACAAAAAAGTGGCCATTCCCTACTGAAAGATCAAATTTGCAAAGGGTTAACTTGTCTCCTCAATACGCCCCACCCCACTCTCCTCTTAAGTCATGAATGAGCCATTCAGGTCTTCTGAAGATCCATTGTTCAGGTTGTTGTTGGGTACAGGCAGAGGTATATGAGGAAGCAAAATCAGCTACAGACAACAACAGATCTATACATCATCATATTCCATTCCCGGAAACCTGCACAAAAAGGTAACTGCTGCAACGTTTATCAGTCTCGTATACAATGATTTTTGGTACATAAACTTAGGTACTTGTTTGTTGACAGCAAATGTTAGAGCAGAAGTAAGCTCTGGACATACTATCTAAATTATTGCATTTATAGTTAAAACAAGTCAAAATAAGGACAATTTATTTAGGGAAACTACTAAAATGGTGCCCTGCTGCGCACTGAATAGTGCTAGATGAATCACATACTATCTCCACAGTGATGTAATGAATCTTTATGCAGTTTCCTTGACTGTTTGTTCCACAGCCTAGTCTGATGTTCTCACAGGTCTAGTTTTAAGGAGTCTTACAGTCTCTATCTTTTTAATATGGCTTAAAGGTGAAAAGACAAATTGATCTGCATATATTGAAGAAAAATATGCAGAAGAAATATATGCAGAAGAAATTGGTCCAAGCGGGGGGGGGGATCCCAAAATGTTTTTGATAGACTGCCACTCTCCTCCTCAAACACAGCCTTCCTGGACCTGAACTGTGCTCTTGTTGGCCCTGTGACTTACTGAGTGTTCTGGACAGTAGAGGAAGAAAAAAATGCAATAAGTTCTGCTGAAAAGATAACATTGGGTTGGCAGAGTATGGGATTGCTTCAGCCAGCAAACAGGAGCTTTGCAAGCACAAAATCAAAACGAAGAACAGCTGTTAAAACAAAGTCTCTAAGCCTGAAACAAAATCCAGACACAAACTTTGATGAAAGCTGGCCAAATGTCCAGGTAGAAATCCACTTACTGTTGTTGTCTATATGCCACACGTTTGAATGCTGAAAGAACTGCTGATCCATAGATTAACAGAATTGGGTCTTCGTCCTTCCATTGTTACAATATTATCATAAGGACAAGGAGAATCTATTTCCATTGATAGTTGACTATGTCAATGAAACAAACAAATGGTTTAAGCAAAATATGTTCTACAAAATTTAGGGATTGTTCCAATAAAATGGTAGATTGTAACTCCACCATCTAAAACTACCTATGTCTGGATGCAACCCCGAGCATATTCAGAGAGGCACTCGGTTATATTACATCACCAACAATTATCAGATTTTCTCTTCATTGAAAAAGTCATTGCAATATCCTATATACACAAAACATAATTTTGTGATCCATAAATGTAAGAATCGTGGGCTTCAGTCAGGACAATCAGGCATGGGAATCAGGATAGTTAGGACATGTTATATTTTAAAAGTGCAACTGGGTTCATAGAATAGACACAAACTTAAAAACCAATGGTATTATGTCAGGGACAGCCATTACTTATTTCCATGTATCATGAATGTGATCAGGAGATTTCAGTAATTGTGAGTAATTAAACAAAAGCAATACGAGTTATTAAGACGAGAGAATCTAACTTCTGAAGCCCCGTGGGACAAACAACATGCAGTCATCCAAAAGTTGTTTCTCTTAATTTCCACTGGCCCTAGCTGGAGATCAAGATGTTGTTGAGACTTCCAGTCCAGAGGTAGCTGAAGGGCTACAGCTTCCCAAACCCTTGTGTGCTGCAGCTTGACAAACACTCATGGAAGCTTCCTGTAACATCCTTTATTTATCTATGTTAATCCTATCTCACCTGAAAGGAGATAATTCTCACCCATGATTACTTTGAAAGCGGCTATGTGTAATTTAAGCAGTGACGGTGACTATTTCTGAATCCACCGGGGCAAAAAAAATTAGTAATAGAGATGAGCAAACAGGAGACAGGAGCTGCTGGCTGCTAGCCATAGTTTTATCTCTGTTTATCTTATCTTACTTTCCTTTTAAGGTTTCTTTCTCCCTATTTGTCTTTCTCTACACAGACATGGAGAATTAGCCTTTGCAGGAGAGATAAGATAGGAACAGCTGAAAACTCTGATCCTTCTGAGATAGGTAGAGAAAGCTGGAGGGTACCAGAGGCAACAAGGGAATCTTGCCAGAAGATCAGCCTTTTTATCTCTCTTTTATCTTATCTGTCCTCTAGAAGCTAATTTAACCTTTTGGGATGAGGGGGTGGAGGAGGCAGAAGGAACAGGTCATCAGTTCAGTTTTCCCGTTCAGAAACACAAGCATGTGCTCCGGTCGCACCCCATGGTTCCGGATGGTCCTTCAAGCCTTTAAAACGTTACTCTTTTGAACTGCAATTCTCATAACTCATAGTCCAACATGGCCAACTGTAAATCAAAAAGGTAACTTTTCCAAGCACCATGCACCTTTGAGAAATCATTAAAGCAGAAAAGTTTGTTGTGATGTTCCATCAGATTTCCTCCAATTCATGGCCATCCTATGAATGAGCAATCTTCAGAAGATCCTCTCATTAACTGAGCTCTTGCAAACTCAAGACCATTGCTTACTTCATTGAGTCAATCTCTCTCTCTCTCTTTCTTGTTTGGCCTTCCTCTTTCCCTGCTGCTTTCAACCTTTCCTAACATTTTTTTGTCTTTTTCACCAAGTCTTCTTTCCTCAGGATGTGCCCAAAGTATGACAGATTCAGTTTTTCTTATTTCTGCTTATAGAGAGAGTTCATGCTTGATTTGATCTAGGGCTAACATCTCTCTTTCTGGCAGTCCCGGGTTTCTGCAAAGCTCTCCTTCAGCACCATATGTCAAATGAATCTATTATTTTCTTCCTGTCAGCTTTTTTAACCAGTGTGGCTGATATTGGCATTGGTCTCCTATATCACATCTTTCCACTTCAGACTTAGCATTATAACCCAAAACTGTTCGTGCTACATATTGCTTCTGTATTAGAACCACACAATTTCTTCTGCATTTCTCATCTCTAGAGCAAAACTCTTTGTAATTGTCTGACTGAAAATGTGCCATTACAACCCATTTTAATTCATCCATGCAACCTACTGCAGTGTTTAAGTGTTCCATTGCTTGCTTTATAGTTTCTCTTTTACCTTGACTTACATTTCTCATGTTCCCTGTTCCAATTATATGTGTTAAACAGCATCCGGCTTTTCTTTTACCTCTCTACCTGCTGGCCACTTAACATCCTTTTGGATTTGCTTTATTTATTTATTTATTCGATTTATATCCCGCCTATCTAGTCGGTTAAGACCACTCTAGGTGGCTTATTAGCAACAGACCAATTGTCCTTGCCCTTTGCTCTTCCTTAGTACTGTAGTCGATTGAATGCCTTGGGAGACCCATGAGTCTCATATTCAAGTATTATCTCTTGTTTCATTTTGGATTGCCCCATCATAGAGCTTTCAAGGTACAAAACTTTCTAAAGTGGCTTGCCATTGCCTTTTTCTGTGCAGTAATAACAAAAGTTAGATCCTCTTTCAGCTAGTGCTCCTGTCTAGTAGCTGCCGTCCAGGAATTTCTCTGCCCCCATCTCCCCCATCATTTCAATATTCTCTTCTCCAGCTCCTCATTTAGTTTGTTAAGGTAATTATTTTCTCTTCATATTTGGGTAAGTACATTTTTGGGAGTACTACCTGTAGTACCCCACAGGCATTTTGGTCTAAAAAGGTAATTTTTATATGTTATTGTAGTCCCAAAAGATAATTTTTCCAAACTTTGCTTTTGAGTATCTCCTGAGCAGTAGCTTATGATTGGATCATCCTTTCCTCTCCCCATTTCTAAAACCAACAAGCAAACAAACAAGGGTATCTCTATAGCACATATTGAATAAAGCATTACTTTTGGATCTCACTTCAGGACAGAGATCTTTTATGCAACACACATCACAGTCCACAATGACCCACAGCAAGGTTCAGCAATCAACCCAGAAAGACAATTATTTGCATTTCCAGCAGTCATGCACATCAACACGCCAAAGCATTTTTGGAAATGTGTATTCTGAGGTGATAAGAAATAAGGGGAACTTTTAAGAACAGACACAGCACTGAAAAAAGAATTCCTTTCAGAGGTATAATATTTATTTTTAAAATCTACTGCTGACATCTACCATAGTTAAAAATAACACAACAGGCTAGCTCACAGATTCACCCAGCTGATATGTTCATATCCATATTTTGGTTGATGGCAAGGAAGAATACGGGGTTCATAAGATCCTTTGTGCTTATACAATGTTACAATGTTTGCATCCTTCATGTCCTGTGGTACCCCAGCTTCTCTCCAGCAAAGACAAAAGATTTCATACAGCTCCGTGGCTTAAAGTTTGCTGAATCCTGCCTGTTAGAGCAGGTGAATGCAGATGGCTTTAGTAATAATCTCTTGCTAGTGAGAAAATGAAGTTTGATATTGTAACGTATAAACCAGGGTGTTGGTGGTTATTTCGCAACTCCTCTGTGGTGACAACCCTTTGTCTATTCATTTGGACTATTGACAGATGAGGTTTAACGGTCTGTGACTGATGGCGGTGATTTCACCACTGTTGGCTTTTCGCTTGGCATCGCTCCTTTGTGACATGCTGGCAAAAGTGCTGGCCAGATCCCTGGTGTTCTTATCCTTATTTTGCCAGTGCGAAGAGGGAGGTTTGAATTTTCCTAGATTGTTTTTCTGATGCGGTAGCTACAAAAATGGTTAACCTCTCTGTAACAAACTACCTATCTGACTCTGGAAGTAACTATCCACCAAGAATATAATTTATGTGAAACTAGTTACATTTTTAGGTAATGAGGGAAGAACTAAGGCTGTAAACTACACAGCCAGAAAAATGTTCATAGACCTGCACCTGGGAAGTTGGGTTTCTCACAGTAACTTTTTTTAACTAGCCATATGTAGAGAAGAGGAAATTGAAAAACAACCTTGTTTGCAAATTATTATCATAGCTCTCTTGTATCTCTCCTGAATTGCAGGAGGCTTGGCTCCAGGAGAACTGCCTTAATGAGATGTAAACTAGAGCCAAATGGCAATTTTCTTCCTTCTCTCTCTCTCTCTCTCTCTCTCTCTCTCTCTCTCTCGTTCTCTATGTATGTGTGTCTAGGTGTCCTAGCTGGCACCAAGTCTTTAACAGAAATAAATAAATAGTATTATTTGCAAACATTTGGCCCTCCTAGTGTTCTAACAGCTGCCGTGCTATCACACCAACCAGCACCAGCCCTGCACATGCTCTTCTGTATTGGTTCAAGTGATCACACTGTCAGAACTGATGCAAATGATTCTGCTTTTAAAAAACATAGAAGCCCCAGTGGTGGAAGAGGCCATTCTCTTAGCAATCTCAAGTTGAAAAGAAATCTCTTAGCAATCTCAAGTTGAAAAGAAAGTATAATGTCTCATCTTCCAAATTTTTCTAAGTATTTTCAAGGAGAAAAATAAGCATTGGCCACTTCAGGGAACCAGAGATTACTCTCCCCTACTTTTCATGTCATGGTGATAAAGAAAAAGTAACATGTTACCAATATGAATTTCAGGTTATTCTTTTTCTGTTCAGAATAATAGTAATGATGATAATAATAGCAACCTTGCTGGAAAGCAGTGAGCAGTTCAAAGAGAACCTTTTAGGGGGGGGAAACTATGAACAGTGGTTCCCCGCATAGCGATGATAATGCATTCTGAAAAAATCGTCGCTATCCGGATTCATCGCTATGCGGGACTAAAAACCCCATAGGAACGCATTAAAACATGTTTAATGCGTTCCTATGGACTGTAAACTCACTGCTATGTGGAAATCCTCCATACGGCCGCCATTTTCACCGCCCGGTGTGCGAGGGAAACCATGCAAAAATGCTGTGGGTGGCCATTTTTTCTGGTGGCCATTTTGGAACTGCCGATCAGCTGTTTTTAAAACATCGCAATGCGAAGATCGGTAAGCGAAACACTTACCAATCATCGCAATGCAATTTTTGGCCATTGAGAACGTCGCAATGGGATCGCTTTTGCAATCACAAAAAACACGTTGCGATGCGGATTCGTCGTTAAACGGGGCGCTAGCTATGTGAGGCACCACTGTATTCCAAACTCCACTCCTTATACTGATAGGTGACACGTAGTAGAATTCTCTGCATGCTTCCTTAAGAAAGAAAATTAGGCCTGTTCAATATGACTTTTTCTTTGGAATGAGTAGGTAGGGATGGCAGCCACATCCTTCAGGTAGGAGAGGGGAAAATGTATTTTTAACCTATACCTTCCATCAGCCTTAGCCCGCATAGTCATTGGACACTAGGAAACTATGCATATCGCCCTGAGCTGTGAAGATGGAAAGTCAAAAAATTAACAATGAGAGTAATAGCAACAGCAACACTAGCTGGCTGGGTTGGCTGTGAAAATAAATAACATACACCAAGCAATATGACAATTTAGACTTTTAGATAATATCTCTACCAACGGCAAGGGGCATTATGAAGGGAGTATGAACTTCTGGATAGCTCAGTGTCTTAGGTCTTTGGCTGCAGAACCAGAGGTTGGGAGTTTGGTTCCCCACTTGTGCCTTTTGTAGAGTTAGAAAAGGTTCAGAGGGAATTGATATACTTGAAGAGGAATTTTTTTGAGTATAGTAATAAAAATTCAAAGCTTTTAGCCAGAATATCTCAAACAAAAAGATTAAAAAATAATATTGGAATGATTAGAGATAAAACAGGGAAGAATTGCAGCCTGATGAAAGATAAATTAATAATATCACAAGAATTTTATCCAGATTTACAGTATATAAAGGAAATAATATACCGAAAGAAGGGATAGAAAGTTATATTAAATAAAATGTAAAGAGTAAACTATTAGAGAATGATAAAAGAGAATTAGAAAAAGAGAGAAAGGATGAAGATATTGCAAAGGTTATCAATAAATTAACAAATGGTAGAACTCCAGGCTTTGATGGAATGGTCGCAGAATATTATAAATTTTTTAGCTCAACACTAAAAATATTCTATAATGGAATATTGGAAGGAAAGAACATACCAGGATCTTGGAAATATTCACTAACAGCTCTTATCCCAAAACCAAATAAAGATCTGACAGATCCAAGCCCGTACAGGCCTATCTCATAATTAAATCAAGATGCAATGATATTTACTGCAATTTTAGCAAATACAATGAATAAATTCATTATAAAATATATTAAAGAGAATCGGAATGGTTTTTTAAAGGGACAACAAATGGTGAATTTAACTAGGAGGGTTTTGAATATTATATATAATATAGAAAAAGATAAGATAAAGGCAGGTATTTTATCATTAGATATTTTTAAGGCATTTGATTGTGTAGAATGGCCAACATTAAAGATTCTTTTAAAGGGTTGGGATTTTGGAAAGAAATTTATGGGGGTAAGAGATCAACTATATTTGAAGAACATGTCCATAGTAATAGTTAATGACGGGATGACAAAACAGATAGCTCTAGGCCAAGGCACTAGACAAGGTTGCCCCCTTTCCCCAGTTCTGTTTTGTTTGATTATTGAAATATTAGCAAATGCAATAAGGAATGATGATTTAATTAGTGGTATGTATGAATATAACAAAATAAAGATTTACTTATTTGCTAATGATTCCCTTTTGACAGTTAAAAATCCATTAGAATTATTTAAAGAAAAAAATGAGTAGATTAAAAGATTGATTGGATAAAATGAGATTGAAAGATCAAATGAAACAAATTTTTCAAAATAAGAATATATCATGATTGTATTATACGCAATTAGAAATATGGACTAATGAATGGGTAAAGGAGTATAACAAATGTAAAGAATGTACAAAGTACGAACAATTTCTATTATCATATGAAGGTATTTAGATGAATGAGTCAGTGAAAGGTGTAGTAAGTAAAATTTATAGACTCCTGATAGATTTAGGAGAAGAGACCAAAAATGGAGGATTGATGCTAGTGTGGGAACAAGATTAAGGAAAAAGAAAAAATTGTGAAGACTGGATGATGATATGGAAAATATGGGTCAGTGAGAATAAAAGAAATTTTATTAAAACCAAGTTTAAGATGGTATTTGACACTGACAAAATTGAATACAATTAACTCTAATTATCTGAATATCTTTTGGAAATGTGAGAAGGAAATTTGTACATACTTTCATACGTGGTGGGAATGCGAAAAAATACAAAGATTTTCTAAACTCATCTTTAAGGAATTTGTGGAAATCCTAGCTGCCTGTAAATACTGCCCATAACTGAAGAAGTCCTCATGTAACAACTGGGCATGTATGAGGAAACTGCTATGTTTATGGGAAATGCTTGTTTGATGTTTTGTAATCACATATATAGTTATGTTGTATGCCACATATACATTAATTATAGTTATATGGTAGATGTATGCATTGTACATGTGCATAACTGTTTCTAGGCAGAATATACTTGACGCCCAATTGGTTAAGATGTGTCGTATGATATGTGATGTCACTGAGTTATGTAACCTGTTGGGTTATTAAAACGGGGTATCCAGGATGGCTAGCTAGCTTTTGCTGGAGAGCTCGCTGGAACACGCTTCACACTCAATTTTGATGACTGCAGTCTGGTCCTTTCAGAGATCTCTCTCGTCACCACGGATTGCCGGAGCTGGACTACAACAGGAATGAAGTGATATATGTGAAAGCGATATAGAATTTAATCCTGAGATAGCTTTGTTATCAATTTTTGTAAATGTGGGATATGATATGATATGATATGATGACTAGAGAGTTGATTACCAATTTATTAATAGCAGCCAGATTAATAATAGCCAGAAATTGGAAAACAAAACTTGAATTTCAAATGGAAGAATGGTATAATGAATAGGGAATATTGCTATAAATTTTATTTATTTATTTATTTATTTATTTATTTATTTATTTATTTATTTATCTATCTATCTATCTATCTATCTATCTATCTATCTATCTATCTGTCTATCTGTCTGTCTGTTTGTTTGTTTGTTTGTTTGTTTGTTTGTTTGTTTGTTTGTTTGTTTGTTTGTTTGTTTAATGCCCTGCCTATCTCGTCATTGCGACCACTCTAGGCTGCTGTGATAAATTAACTTGTAATTTAAAGGTCATGAAAGAAGAGATAAAAAAGTAATTTTTATTATATATGGGGCAGATTTATTGAATATGTGCTAATAAAAGGGAAAGGGAAAGTTCCAAATCAGGACTCAGTGCAGTTCTGGAGAAGAGGATGATAAAGGAAGAAGAAGAACAAAGATAAAGGAAGAAGAAGACTACTGCAAGAGGTCCCGACTAGGGTGGTGGGAAACACAGTTGATTTGTATTTTGGTTTATGTATTTTATGTAGTTATAATTTTTTAAAAGGAGGAAAATGTTTGTATTTCTATCCCCAACTATGGCGATTGAGTAATTGCTTATCATCAGTTTGGGTGTTGTCTTTTTATGCAATGACCATATTGTATTATTATGTTTTAATGGAATTTTGTATGCTGTCTCAGGAAATCAGTTAGACTGAAAAGGGTTTTTCTCAATGACAGACTGATAGATAGATTGAAAGTATAATCTTAGACCTGCAGAGCTGGAAGGGACTCTATGGATCACCAAGTCCAACCCTTGTCAAGGAGGCCCAGGGGGGAATCAGACTTCCAACCTCTAGCTCCAGGCCAGATGCCTAAATCTTCAAACAACTCTCATCCAAATTACATAAAAGACATGAATGCCCCAGCAGAAGAATCACCTTCTAGGACAGCTCTTCTGCATAGAAACTATATGAATTGGATCTCCTTCTTTTGTTTTTGTACATGATTGTCTGGAGGTCTGAGACAGCAAACAACCTATAATGTTTTGCATTTTTGTAAACAGAATCTCCCTATCTTCTTTTTCCTATTTCATCAAGTGGCTCATTTGATTTCTATTGTCCCTAGACCAGCAAATAGGATTAGCCAGGTGGCCGAGATTATGATCAGGGATAAGCAGGTTAAGTGGGCACATGACTAACAAGGGGCCATATCCACTTTAAGCAGCCTAGCCAGAAACCATATAACAAGAGGCACACTAGCAATATTAAGAGTTCCAGGGTGAATCTTCTAGAACGCATCTTCTTGCTGTGTCTATTTCTGCCTGAACCTTGCTTCTGCTTATCCCTTCCATTGTTCCAGCTGAAGTTCCAACGCTCCCCAGCTTCAAGACAATCTAACAAGACTAATGAGAGGTAATTTTTGTCACCCCTAATCAATTTTCCGGGAGTATTTTTTCCCACACATTGATGGCTTCCCAGTCTAACCTCCCCACTGCCTTTTCTTTGTGTGTGTAGTTTAGATGGAATAGCCTTCTGCTTATACAACTCTGAGATTTCCCAGTAACACAATGTAGTCATTAGGCAAAATCCTGTTGCATAACCTTGCACTGCTGTAAAATGGATAAAGGTGCTGAAATAATTAATTTAAATTGATTTGAAGCTTCTTAACCCAATACCACCCCTTCACAGATTGCTGCCTTGCCATGGTGAAGGGGCTTGAGTAATTCAAAGAAGCTATGGGCTGTGCTGTGCAGTGACACCCAAGACGGACAGGTCATAGTGGAGGGTTCTGACTAAACGCAAACCACCTGGAGCAGGAACTGGCTAGCCACTCCAGTATCTTTGCCAAGAAAACTCCATGGACAGAAATGAAAGGCTAAAAGATATGACGCTGGAAAATGAGCCCCTCAGATCAGAAGGTGTCCAACATGCTACTGAGGAAGAGCAGAGGACATGTACAAATAGTGCCAGAGCGAATGAAGAGGTTGGGCCAAAGCTGAAAGGACGCTCAGCTGCGGACACATCTGGAAGTGAAAGGAAAGTCCGATGATGCAAAGAAAAATACTGCATGGGAACCTGGAATGTAAGATCTATGAACCTTGGGAAGCTGAATGTGGTCAAACAGGAGATGGCAAGAATCAACATTGACATCCTGGGCATCAGTAAAGTAAAATGGATGGGAATCGGCGAATTCAATTCAAATGATTATCATATCTACTATTGTGGGCAAGAAGCCCATAGAAGAAATGGAATAGTCCTCATAGTCAACAAAAGAGTGCGAAAAGCTGTACTGGGATACAGTCTCAAAAATGATAGAATGATTTCAATAGGAATCCAAGGCAGACCTTTCAACATCACAGTAATCCATCTTCGTGCACCAACAACTGATGCTGAAGAGGCTGAAATTGAGACACCTTTTAGAACTCACACCAAAGAAAGATGTTCTTCACATTATAAGTGACTGGAATGCTAAAGTAGGGAGTCAAGAGATAAAAGGAACAACAGGTAAGTTTGGCCTTGGAGTTCAAAACGAAGCAGGGCAAAGAGAATAACGTGGCACGCGTGCCATAGGTTCGCCATCCCTGGTCTAGGGGTAAAGGTCTAGGCTAAACAGCATTCACAAAATTTTAGTCTCTTAAAGCCTATTCAGTGATATTTCACTGTAGGATTTTTTCCAGAAACAAAAGTTTCTGTCTCACTGTCTCACTTTCAGCCTTGAACCAGCTTGCTGTTTAAGAATCAGTTTCATTTTTGAAGAAGCAGGCTGGTAAGCAAAACTCGCCGCTCCTTCTTTTGGCCAAGTATTTTCAATCTAATTTCTTTTTCAGCTTAATGGGGTTGTTCATAAATCAAAGGCTTCAGCTTACTTCGTTATTATATATTTTCAACGCTGTACTGTATTTCTTGTTCTCCTCTCCTTGGGAGGTGGGGGTGGAGTTACTCACAGCTCTCTGCCAACATAGCTCCCGCATCCGATCTGTGCTCGGGTGAATTTTCAGAGGGAAGAAATACCAGGTTGCTGCCCAATCTTCTTCCTTCTGGTGCTGACCAACTGCTTCAGGGAGACCTCTCCTGGTCTCCTCTTTGATCCCCCATTTCTAGAGGGACCCCAGACCAGGCGGTTCCAGCTTTTCCTGGGAGCTGTTGCTGGAAGCTGCTGGAAGCACCGCAACAAAGCTCTGCCTCCTACTTCTAATTAATTGATTACGCAAAAGCCTTTGACTGTGTGGACCACAACAAACTATGGCAAGTTCTTAAAGAAATGGGAGTGCCTGACCACCTTATCTGTCTCCTGAGAAATCTATATATGGGATAGGAAGCAACAGTTAGAACTAGATATGGAACAACTCATTGGTCCAAAATTGGGAAAGGAGTACAACAAGGCTGTATGTTGTCTCCCGGCTTATTTAACTTATATGCAGAATACATCATGCAAAAGGCTGGACTGGATGAATCCCAAGATGGAATTAAGATTGCTGGAAGAAAAAACAACCTCCGATATACATATGATACCACTCTGAATGCAGAAAGTGAGGAGGACTTAAAAAAGAATCTCTTAATGAGGGTGAAAGAAGAGAGCGCAAAAAATGATCTGAAGCTCAACATCAAAAAAACTAAGATCATGGCCACTTGTCCCATCACCTCCTGGCAAACAGAAGGGGAAGATATGGAGGCAGTGACAGATTTGACTTTCTTGGGCTCCATGATCACTGCAGATGGTGACAGCAGCAACGAAATTAAAGACGTCTGCTTCTTCAGAGGAAAGCGATGACAAACCTAGACAGCATCTTAAAAAGCAGAGACATCACCTTGCCGATAAAAGTCCACATAGTCAAAGCTATGGTTTTTCCAGTAGTGATGTATGGAAATGACATCCGGACCATAAAGAAGGTTGACCGCCAAAGAAGTGATGCTTTTGAATTGTGGTGCTGGAGGAGACTCTTGAGAGTCCCCTGGACCACAAAGAGAACAAACTTATCAATTCTGAAGGAAATCAACCCTGAGTGCTCATTGGAAGGACAGATCCTGAAGCTAAGGCTCCAATATTTTGGCTATCTCATGAGAAGAGACGACTCCCTGGAAAAGACGCTGATGTTGGGAAAGTATGAAGGCAAGAAGAGAAGGGGATGACAGAGGACAAGATGGTTGGACAGTGTCACTGAAGCGACCAACATGAATTTGACCCAACTCCGGGAGGCAGTGGAAGACAGGAGGGCCTGGCGTGCTCTGGTCCAAGGGGTCACGAAGAGTCGGACACAACTTAACGACTAAATAACAACAACCCAATCGCAACCCTATCTCAGATCCAAGGCTCTCTAGACCACTCCGTTGTCCTGCGGAGCGCATCAGAAGCCTTGAGATCAGGGGTTGGGGAGACTTTAAAAGTCAAACATTGCCATTAGATTGGGACCTTGGGCAGCAATTTTTGATTTACATACACTTTTTCCCAAGGTTCTCGAAGAACTCTCCAGGGCAAGATGGAGCCATAGGGCACCCCAGAGGTTGAAGGGGTGAGGATAGGAAGTTTCAAATCAATTTATATGAACTACTTCCAGCACTCTGAGAGTGATTTACTCCAATGCAAAGTTCCACAATTGGTTGCTGTCTATTGTTTTCCACGAGGAATTCTCATGCCGCACTGAATGTTTGTTCCACGTAAGATGATAATAGGAAACCTATGCTGTGCGAGACATGTGCAACAATTGGATCTCCATCCTCATCAAAATTGAATGTGAGCAATTGCTGACTGTTGATTTACCATAACGTCACCTCCGGAAATACCAGCTGGGTGTCATCATTACAAACCAAGAAGAATAAGTAGGTGGGAGGGAAGAGGTTGCTAACATGGGGCAAACTTTCAAATAAATTTTTCTAATACTCTAATATCTAGAGTAAAAATCCTTAAATCTCTTAACTCCATTAAATGTGTGAGTGTTGTTTTCTGCATGTAGAAATAAACCACATACATATATATATTGCAGTACCAGAGATTTACTGTCTGCAATTCTCATCATACTGAAAAGAATTATACGTACATTTTGGGATGAATTCAAGCTTAGAGTCAAGGCAGATGAAGAAGACAACATACAATGTCAATTTTTCATTTCTTTATAAGGTGTTGGATGGCACTAATGAATATATTAAGATGCAAAGTTTTGCTGTTTGATGGGAAATCATCCACAGACTCCAGGAAATAAAATCATTTTTTAAAAAAACATGTGACAAGTCAAAACTGCAGGTGTGTAATTTACTGCTAGGCGCTGCGTCACTGCAATGCAGGAAACATGGGAGCTATATAAACCTATTAACATTGCCCATTGGCATTTAGAACCTCCCATGAGCTACAAAGAAGCTATATTCAATCTTACACAAACTAACAAGGTAAGTTTTCTAATTTTGCCCATTGATACCCCATTCAATTCTCAGCAGTTAAACAAACTGATAACCAGTGTGGTGCAGTGGATAGGATGGCAAACTAGACTTCAGGAGGTTTGGGTTCTAATGGAAACTTACTGGGGGAGTGGATCTGGCAAAGTCACTCTTTAAATATCTCACCTTTAATTAAAGCCAGCATTTGTCCGAAGACAGTTTCTGTGGTCACGTGGCCAGTGCGACTAGACACGGAACGCCGTTACCTTCCCACTGTGGTAGTACCTATTTATCCACTTGCATTTTTACATGCTTTCGAACTGCTAGGTTGGCAGGAGCTGGGACAAGCGATGGGAGCTCACTCCGTCGCGTGGATTCGATCTTACGACTGCTGGTCTTCTGACCTTGCAGCACAGAGGCTTCTGAGGTTTAACCCACAGCACCACCACATCCCTTTAAAGCCCTATTGGAGTCACTGTAAATCAGTTCTGACTTGACAGCAAATAACTAATTAAACAAATAGATGATTTTGGAAAAGAATAGCTCAGGAAGATACCTGCTCTTGACTCTTTTTTTTATACAAAATATCATGTACATAAGATATACAACAAGGCAATTATTGTTGTCTACTTTGAGGGCAGGGTTGTCCACACTATCAATATATATTGCTTTTATACTAGTTAAACTACTGTGGTTTTCCACAGAGAAATCAAAGAGCTGTAGTTTTGTATCCTTCACTACAGTTCTGTTGGACATAGTGTAGTGGACAGATAAGGACTTAAGAGATGAGGGTTCAAGTCTTGCTTAGCCCCTCATTGGGGCCAAGCAAGTAGTAGCAGCAACAGAGAACTACTCCTTCAACATCTACCTTGAAAACCCAGTTAGGTAATTCATAAGTTGGAAGTGACTTGATGGTTTGTAACAACAACAACAGCTGAGAGGCCAGGATTCCCTGGAGAGAGTCAATTGCTATTAACAGAGATGCACGCCACTTTTCTAACCAGCATATCATGGTAGCATTCAATTTCAGCAAATATGCTGTGTTCACAGAATGTTTTTTTAATGCCCTTTTGTCCTTTTTTTTTTCCAGAGATGACTGTGTCCATTTTCCTGCTGTGTCTCGCTGCTATAGTGCAACAATCAGCCAGATATGTAAGTTTCTTAACTTTGCATAAAGGGTCAGCAGTATTGGCACATTGGGACATAAATTATCTCTTTATCTGGCTATCTGCCTATGTATCATATTTATACCCGCACCTTTCTATTACAAAGCAGTACTCAAGAATAAAATAGTAATAGAATAAAAGAATAAAAACAAATAAAAGCAAATGCTTAAGGTTGGCTAGAAATAATGTGAAAGTGTTATTGATGTCATGGAGATAATTTCATAATATACATAGATATCCCAGAGGGTTCTTGCTCTTCCTATCTCACTTTAGACAGAGGCAACAGAATTCGCTGCCAGATCCTCCATTAGTCCAGCTCAACAAAATGAGATTGTTGGTAAGCACAATGCTTTACGGAGAAGCGTAACGCCAACTGCCAGGAACATGCTAAGAATGGTAAGTCCTGAAAAGCTAAATGTTGCGCACGCTTAGTATATTTAAGTTAAAGAGACTCGGGGCGCAGTGGTCAAACTGCTCTACTGCAGCCAAAACTGTGCTCACAATCTGGAGTTCATTCCAGGTAACCAGCTCAAGGTTGACTCAGCCTTCTATCCTTTCGAGGTCGGTAAAATGAATACCCATCTCATGGGAGGGGGGGAGGAATGTGTAGCCTGCATCCTTAATTTGTAAGCCACCCAGAGAGTGCTTGAAACGCTAAGGGGCGCTATGTAAGCAGCATGCTTTGCTTTGCTTGCTTAAGCTATGTGTCCTTGCCAGCAGAAAACATTTGCTTGGGATCCTTTCACAGCAATGATCAAAGCTAAAGCTAGATTCATAGAACAGTTTGTTTCCCGGACAATACAGTCCTAAGCATGTTCACTCAAAAATTATTCCTACAAGTTAAGTGACAGTTGTTCCCTATATTTTAATTGCATTTTAACTGTTTTGATTTTTTATTGTATTTTAAATGTTGTAAGCCGCCCAGAGACCTTTGGGTAGTGTGGGCGGCATATAAATTAAATAAATAAATAGAAACATACTTAGGATTCCAGGCATGGCATTAAGATCTGACCCAGGAGCAGCACACAATCTAAGTACTGTAGGTAGGACGGAGCACCTCATCCTATAATGAAAGAGTGGGTCTCCTCTCACCCTTTGGATCATGGCCCATCAGGATCTGAACCAAACATCTTTTCTTTCTCTTATGGATTGAGCAAAATACTAGTCTTAAATCCAGGGATTGTGCTTTAGTTGTATTAACAGCTGGAATCACCTCAGTGGTCAAGAAATGTGATTAAGAGAGTTTTTCACATTTGAGAAATTAGGCTTGCAAAAAAGACCAAACACAAAACTAAGCAAGCAAATTTGCAAATCCTGTGAGGTGAGAAAAGCATTTGATGAGCTCTCTCTTCTAGTGGTAGGTTATCTGTAATGTATTTTTCGGGGGGGGGGCAGTTGCCTTGAAAAAGCTGCTTTCACATTTACAGAATGACTTCATACGCTTTTCTGTGAAGATAGATGAGGTACTGAAAAAGCTGCTTTCACATTTATAGAATGATTTCATACGCTTTTCTGTGAAGACAGATGAGGCAGGGATTCTAAACTATTTTCTTAATCAGAACAGTGGTGCATACTAATGAAACAGCGAACATAAATAAAGCTGCTTCCTCACCTGGAGCTGTTACCCACCAACGAGCCAGAAATCTGTTATGTCATAAGCTTCTCATATGAGAGTCATAGGAGTTGATCATGCAAATTCACATTAAGGAGGTCAGGCTGAGCAAACATGATGACGGGCAAACATAATTATGAGGTGGAGCACAATGATACACCATGCTACCTCTTAGCTTCACATTCCCTTGGACAGATAAAGTCTACAACTTTGCTTGCTTCTCCTCCCTACTTTTTTCATTCCCTCAGGAAAAAAGTGTCACCAGCCTCCTAGGCGTCTCTGGTAGCAGTTCCATAGTACCATGATGGTGATGATAGATTTTCTTGATAAGAATAGTAGATTGTTCTGAATTATCTCAAATGCAACACAAGGTATTTTGGGATGTCATGGTCTTGCACAGGTAAAAGGAGGCACAGTGGTTTACAAACAGCTTTAAGAGGCTTGACCACTGGGTTGATGCAGCTGCCTGCATTCTTTCACTCTCTTTGGTACGGGAATACATGCTCCTGATCTAGCTTCAGATATTCAAACAATGTTTTAGAGGAAATCAGCATGACATCGGAGCAGACAATTTAAAAACTATTCTCACACACATGATATGACCAATGCTAAAACCTGACAGAGACCAATACTATCTGTTACATGTTTGCATTAGGAATTTTCTACAGTATATTTTTTCCCATACAGGAATGGAATCCAAAAGCTGCGGAGAATTCCAAATGGTGGGGAAAAAAGTGTACTTTCAGACACAGCCCAAAAGAGAGCCGAACTGTCAGTAAGTATGACTACCAGTAAGGCCAATGGAATTATGTTTAACAAGTTTATGTACAAATATAATTCAGAAATTCTTACAATAGATCCTGATTGCTTATGCCTGTGTATATCCACAGAAATATCAGTAGATCACTAATATGATCATCATTAAACAGATGAGAAGGTGGCTGAAACAAAAAAATAATACTGTGTATAAAGTTACCTTAGAGAGGTCATATACTGTACTTTATTTCATTCCTGGTGGTGGCTAAAATCTGGAGAAGTGTCACCTCCACTCATCTCCATCCACAGAGGAGAGCTTCTCAGTAGAAGCCCTTTCTCTACCCACGGAAAAGTCCTTGACCAGGAAGCTAACACTAGGCAGTCCTCTTCAGTAGCAAGTGTAATGTTCCAAAATGGGGGCATGAGATGATTGTTATATTTTCATTTCCTGATGTGCTGGAACTAGAAGAGGACCATGGTGATAAGGAGCATGTCATCTATTTCATTTATATTGCAACAAATTAATTTTTTTGGTTTGTTTTATTTCAAGAACTTTTTGTCTCAAGAGAGGGAGACACAAGTGTAAAGAAAGAGAATTTTAGTGACCACTATTTTGTGTTTTTCCAGAAAGCTCTTTACTGTTGAATTGGTGTTTTGTTTTGTTTTTAATTTTAAATGATAGTCCCTAACTGAACATTTATTGGTTGATCTTGGGCAGTTGTTGTTGCTCAGCTTGACTTACCTCACATGGTTGCTCATTGCTTTTCCTGGGATGTGGAAGAATCACTGATCTCCCCAAGTTCAAGTAGAAATATTCACTCATTTTCTTTCTAGTATATTTCATACTACCTGCTGACCATTTATGTTCTCCCTTGTAGATGGAATACAATGTGGTGAAAACCTCTACATGTCAACTGCAGCTACTTCATGGTCTAAAGTCATTGAGAGCTGGTACAATGAATCAAAACATTTCAAGTATGGTGTTGGAGCCACTGCTCCAAAAGCCGTAATAGGCCATTACACTCAGGTAGCCCAAATGATCTTTTATTTATTTTGTCAAATTGTGCTTAAATGCTAAATCAATAAGGGTGACCACAAGAACTGTTAGAAAGCTTATTTGATGGCTGTCATATGAGATTATTGTGCCAAGTTTGGAGGATTTAGGAGTAGACAACAACTCTAAAATAATATAATTGAGAACTATACAATTTGTGATGCAGTAAACTGCACTCAGCTCCCCACAGCCATGAATTGAATTTGTTTGTTTTTTCTTGCTGCTGTTTTTGTTTTGTTTTATTTTTTGCTTCTCCTTTCAGAGGGCCATGATGTCACTTCCAATGGTTTAAGCTTTCAAGCTTTGTGTGTATGTTTCCATAGCTCAGTATCAGAACAAATATACATGAAAATGTTTCTTATGTCTATGTTTTCATATCTGCAGGTGGTCTGGTATAAGTCTTATCTAATAGGCTGTTACGCTGCCTCGTGTCCTACAGCCATCTTCAAGCACTATTACGTTTGCCAGTACTGCCCTGCGTATGTATTAACCATCTGTTTCAATGATTGTCTTCTCTAGGGCATAATTCCATTAAAACCACATTGACTGCAAAAATGGGAAAACAATGGGGCTTAAATGTGTGTGTGGCGCTGGCTGAATCAGATCCTTGGTTAAGTTTAGTTTTAATGAATATTTCAGGTGTGTTTCAGGTCTGTCACTCCTTATTCTATTAGTTCTTCTGCACAGATTTTCTTACTTAGAAGGAAAAAGTAGACTGGAGTATAAGTAGATTGAATTAAAATGAAGAATGTTTTTTAAAAAAATAAGGGTACAATCCCAGGCATTTCCATCTGGGAATCAGCACACAGCAAACTGCAATTATATGCAAAGCAAAATGTATTATTAGAATTCAGAACATTTGTCCATGTAGCTTAATATTGTCTTTGACAATAAGTGCCTCTCTCTGTTGCCTCTGGCAAAGGTGTGTCTCATGACTAATTATCTGCTCCTTCTAACAAGTGGAGATACCAAAGACTCAGCCTACAATTATCTCTATACAAAGTATGTGTTCTAATATTAAGCTATGGGTCCTCCCCTAAATTGGAACATGTCTGAGCAAACATCTATAAGATTGTACTGCGTGCCCATTTACAAAGGAGAGCATCATATTAAATTCAGTAGGGCTTACATCTGAGGAAAAAACCCATAGGCCATGACTGTAAGAATATGTGTACCCTTATGAGAATGCTAGTAAAATGAGTAGGAAATATTTCTTTCAAAAACAAATTGCTTAAAGAGTGGTTTAGGTTTCCGGCTGAGGAGCCAGAGGTTGGAAGTTCGATTCCCCAGAGTGCCTCCTTAACAGGAACTGGACTTGATAATCCATAGAATCCCTTCCAGCTCTGCAGTTCTAAGATTATACTTTCAATATATCTATCATCTATCAATCTATCATTCAGAAACACATTTCCACTCCTAACTGATTCCCTGAGAGAGCATACAAAATTCCATTAAAAGCATAAATAATGATAGCCGTTGCATAAGAACACAACACCCAAACTGATGATAAGCAATTACTGTACTCAATCACTATAGTTACTAAAAAGGGGGTAGAAATACAAACATTTTCCTCCTGAATATTTCAAAGGGCAGTGTCACACACAGTTCCTGGAAATGAGTAGATGGTACAGTTTAAGATCACCACCAAGAAGGATCTGCCCTGAATGCCATCATATTTTCTTTTCAAAGTCAAGACAACCATTGTAAATTAACATGGAAACCAACAAGCAGTCAGTACTAATTGGTATTGGTACATAATTTATGGATGTCAGGCAACACAAAAAAAATGAAAATGTAAAGAAGGCAAAAATATGGTGGCACCTTAAAGACTAACTGCTATGTTTTATAGCACTTTCGTGGACAAGTCCATTTCTTCTGACATTGATTGAGCTGCTGCTGAGCCAAGCACGGCTTGCCTTTGCCTCCTTCCTCGAAGGCTGCAAGACCTTACAGTCTCGCGTGAGCAACTCAGTGGGAGAGGGGGAACAATAGGTTATTTAAAGACTGTTTTCCCCATCTCCTCTTCCTCCTCTTTTGCTGGCACTCACCCGCCCGGCCCTATATTCTGGTGTGAGTTTATCTGGTCACCTTTGGGGCCAGATAGGAATTTTTGACCCACATCCTGATTGGCCTTTGGATGCAGGCATTTTTCACCTATCCTGCACTGGTAAAGGTGCATTGGCATGTTTTGAGGTGGGATTTTCGGTCACACAGGTGGGTAGTGTGGATAAAACAGGTTTTTTGGTGAGTCCCATAACAATCTCAGGTAATGTATAGCTCATCTGAACTCCGAGCGCTGCAGATCACGTGATTACAGTGTTTAGGGGGGAAGATGCACTCGGGCCACACCCAGACCAACAGTCAACAAGGAGAGGGTCGCTTGGGGTCCGGGCGTGGTCAAAATTGCACCGGCCGGGTTTTTCACTGCCTTCACGGCTGCAAAAACCTGGGCCAGGGACTTGCCCATTTGTTTGTTATAGGGTCCGTTCAGACCTCTGTGTTTGAATCTGCAGTACAGCAGGACCCTCCTTTGCCAAAGGATTGGCAACATTGATTATTTCAATAAAGTGTGGCCTGTGTTTAACCCATAATTCTGGCCTCACGTCATTATTCCGGGGTAAGGGGGCAATGTTAGAGAATAACTGCTATATTTTATATGAGCTTTGGTGGACAAGTCCATTTCTTCCGACATATAATTTATGTAATATAATATTGGTCCTGTACCTCTGGTGATCCTTGATAGTATGTTCTGTACTGGGTGAAGGTTTGGAAGTAATCCAGCTAGAGATCACAGGTAGTATCTTGTTGGTGTTGGTTGCAACATCTGAGGCATGGTTTTGAAAGCGCTTCAATGCCAGCCAAGCAAGATGACAAAAGCAACCTGGTCATTCTTTCTGCTTTTAAGTCATTCCCCAGAAAATCATGGGATAACCATATGGTTAGGGTTACTGTAACTTCTTTCTGAGTATACCATTTGTTCGTGCTAGCTCACAGGGCTTACTTCTGAGACAGCAATGTCATCAATTATTCATGCAGCTAATATTATACACAGGGGAGGTACAGTTGGTCCCCTTCTAGGGTTACTGTAACTTCTTTCTGAGTATACTGTTTGTTCATGCTAGCTCACAGGGCTTGCTTCTGAGACAGCAATGTCATCAGTTATTCATGCAGCTAATATGACACACAGGGGAGGTACAGTTGGTCCCCTCCTTTTTATCCTTCTGCCAACAGTTGAAGACCCAACTTTTTAGACAGGCTTTGAATAACTTTTAACAATTATAACTGAGTCCTGGATGCTGAACCCCGGGGTTGTTTTTTTTTTTAAGTTTGACTTCATAGTCTGAAATGTTTTTTAAATTACAGTACTTGATTGATTTTTCATTAGTAGCATAGTTTAATTGTTTTTAATCAGTAATTTATTGTGTTTTTTTTTTTTAATGTTGTGAGTCCTGTTGGGTCCCTTCACTGGGAGAAAGGCAGCCAACAAATGATTTAATAGATAATTAAGTAGGAAAATTGTGAAAACAGCACAGGAGAGTTTATGAAATCCATCTCTGTAAAGTGTTCATCAAATTTTCAAAAAAAGTCAAAGTAGCTATGCAGTCCATATCTAGAAGCAAAAATCAGGTTCAGGTAATACTTTTGTTGGATCACTAAAATGTTATAGATATTTATTTAATGAATACATACATATTTCTTTTTCAAAAAAAACTGTCTCGGGTTCTAGGTACTGCAAACGTGCATTCATAACCATTTACAGTGCCTGATTCTTTGCCCTTGTCTTCACAGAGGGAACGTAGGTTCACTTAATACTCCATACACATCAGGACCACCATGCGGGGACTGCCCTTCAGCTTGTGACAAAGGACTATGCAGTAAGTGCAAAGAACTTCAAATGTCAAAACAGCAGTCTTTAACATTAAGGAACGACATTCAACTAGAGCACAGAATTTGCACCATTAGGCAACTGCCACTAAATCAGAATAAGAGAAGGGAATGTGAGGATATATTTTAATCTGACAAGGAGACAAGTTTCTCATCACAGGCGGTTTCTTCTAGATCTGCCTCTGTGGACACTGAAAATGACTATGTGGTGGGAAAGCCCTGAATCCTGCACCTAGTTTAGTGGTGTGCTGGCTTTTGCATTTCATACACATCACCAAACAAATGTAATAGCCCTGGAAGTTTAGCTAAAAAAGAAGAAAAGAAAAAAGAGGAAGATCCCAGTAAGCAGGCAGATGGCGAACCACAGCTAATGGTGAAGGTCTCTAGATATCAAGATTTATCCAATTTATTGGACTCAAACATGAATAGATAGAATATAAAGCATGTAATATTAAATTAAGGCAGAGATAGAGAGAGACTGAGATTGTGTGTATTAAAACTGAGACACAGAGGGAATTTTTCATATTTAGATAACTTTCCATTTTTAACAGATGTGAAGAACTTCTGCATAACATGTTAGGTTAGGACCTGGGCATAATGCATTTCAAATTTTGCCCAGCTTTCTCCAGATTTTGACCAGGATTGCAAAACTACTTACTAATCCAATTACTAGTGCATTTAAACTACTTCTAAATTGTATTTTCTGTGCCATTCCTTTCTTTTGAGTAATCAAGGTCTAATTTGAAGCTCCAAAACATTAAGCCCAAAATCCCAATACCTGAGAGAAGGAACCCTTGGAAATTGAATCTTTGATGTCATGTTACTTTTGTTCATATGTGTTCTAATGTTCTTTCATTTTCAGCCAATCCTTGCAAGCATATGGATCAGTACGGCAACTGTAATGACTTAGCAAAGATGTCTGGGTGTAAGGATGCAAAAATCATGAAATATTGCCCTGCTTCTTGCCTGTGCACCACTGAAATAAAATGACAGAGCCTGCTCCATGACAGTTCTGCTCTTCAATGAAGAACTCTGAATTCTCAAAAAATTCATCCCTTGCTTTAACGTTATCCTCATGATCCACGTCCATAGGTTCAAATGAAAGTTGTAAGCATGTTTCCAGAACTGAAAAACTGATCAATTCCTTTCTATGTGTATATCTTCTTTCATCTAATGTGGCATTAAAGGCAAAAAAAAAAAAAAGATTGTGGAGAGAAATTCTGCAACTGTAGAGTCCCAGGAGAAATCATAAACACAGATATACATGTGACCCCAAGAAAGGTTCAGATAGGGTTGATCAAATACTAATAGTGGAATCTGAACTATAAAATGAATGGGTTACAGGGCATTCTGACAGCCTCACAACATCACAGTTGCTGCTGCATCACCAGATGTAATGTAATCAGGTTCCTATGCTCAGTTTGCAATCCAAGCAATCCCACAACAATAGCTGAAGAACCAAGAGTTGGCAGCACAACAAGATCGATGGGCATGTATTCAAGACTTCTCTGGTGACCCTGCTGTCCAATAAACCCAATTGTTCATTGATTACACTGACTTTATCCAAGCAGGGTAGAATGCTCCACTAATGTGGATTTTATTTCTATGTGACCCTATCTGTTGCACACAGATGACTCAGGCAAGCAAACAGAACACACTTTCTCAGAGGAGACCATCCTAGTACAGCAGGCAGGAGGCCAGACATGAGCACAATGACAGGCAGAAAGAAAGGTGCAAATATCCGTCATCCCAAATTGCCATGCTTCCTACAAGCTGGAAACTGAATCAGAGTAGTAAGTAGAAAACTTGGCACCCAGAGGTTTGTTGGCTTGTTGGTTAAACATAGGCCTGTGAGGATATAGGAATGGAAAGGAACACCTGGGGCTGTATTGGTTCAATGCTGAGCCAGCCTGTTTTCTGTTTCCTTCTGGACAGCGTTGTTCATGCCCTTCCAGCAAGAAATATCAGTGGAGGGGTCCATGCCCTTCCAGCCACCAAATTTTGTGTCTTCTATATGTCAGCACTCTGAGTCAAAGACTTCTGCCATAATTACTCTGAATCCCCTTGTAGCACTAACACAGCCTGCAAAGAGACCTTCTTCCAAAAGAGACATATACAAGGCCATTCAGGAAAAGAGTGGTGACTATAACACTTAGATGTTTCTGCAAGCCCATAGGTAGGAGATAGATCTCTATAGGTTTATCCCATAGAGCCCAAAAGTGTTATGGAAAGAGTGCCCCTATTCAGACATTCATCAGAATACTCCATAAAATATAGTTGTCCTGTTCACATCTGAGAGGAACAAACAGTTTTGCAATGGGAGGGGGGCACATAGCCAAGAGAAAATAGAAGTTAGAAGAGGAAGCTCAGCAGAACCAGTCCCAGAAGCCACTTTATAGCTTGGGAGCAACAGATGTGGACTACTGCTAGAACGAAACCTTTTTAGTATTGTAACAACTCCTGAACTATACCCCCAAATAAGCAGATTCCTAAAGACTACTGATAGGGCGGGATATGGCAGGTCCCTTTGCACATCCATTCCTTTGCCCGGTGCACAACACCCAGACTCAGGGAGCACAGAATACTAAAGACTACTGATAGGGCGGGATATGGCATGTCCCTTTGCACATCCATTCCTTTGCACAACATCCAGACTCAGGGAGCACAGAATATTAAAGGGGTCTCAATTCAGAGTATTATTCCATTAGAACAGCACAGATAGCAGAGGTCCCACTTCCAAATCTTGGCTATGATCCCACAATAGAAAACCACTCCTACCCTGAGCTGTCACGCTAGAAATGATACTCATATAGCCGTTGAGAGTGCCTGAAGCAAAGAACAAAGGAATCATTCCGTTAACTAGATCACATAATCACGACAACACGGTATTCAGGAGGAAAGCCAGGGACTGTCCAGACTGGCTATTTTGAGTGTGGGGTGGATCAAGCTACAAAGGGACTGTTGAAGTCAGGAGGAGCGATGTGCCATTTGGCAAGCTCCTCCCATCCATACAGCTAATGACCCCTTGTAGCCTTATCAGCTGTCAATTAAGCACGTCCCTTGATCATTTGAGTGTTGTTCCAATTTCTCCCTTCCCCCTTTCCCTGCTTCCCTTCCCTCTTTCTCCCCCCACTTTCTCAAACTCTCCCCCAGAATCTGCACCTGCTGATGGCTAAACAAGACAAACAATGCCAAAAAGAATGCACACCCTACCGCTGGGGCAGAAAGTTGCGCGACAGCTCTTAAAGGGAAGGATGGATTATTCTAAGTGGAAACACTAGTGGACAAGGTTGGGGGTTTATCAATCCAAACTGTGGCATCAGCAAGCTATATATCACAACTATATGCCAGTATAGACATGCCTTAGTTGTGTTAGTCTACTGTAGCAAACCAACCAACCAATTGGAATATAGATGTGGAACACTACTATCCTTTCTGTGACATAAGACTTTGCTGACCATTTTATCAAGATTTTACTACAATTTTAAATTATTTTATCAGAAGAATGAAAGAATACATACCTGATGAAGGGGCCCTTTTCCTTGAAATCTTGTCTTTTAATAAATCATTTTGTTATTATGATGCTAAAAGATTTTTTATTAGTCATGAGATCTGCAATCTAGCTATTTATTTACTTATTTATTTGATTTATATCCCACCCATCTAGACCGAAGTCTACTCTGGGCGGCTAACAACAGTACAAATAATGGCAATATAAATAGAACAACAATAATAATAATAATACAACAAGAGATGGCAATGAAGTAAGTTAGGTATAGCGGGAGCTGGGACAAGCAACAGAGGCTCACTCCAATGCGTGGATTCAATCTTATGACTGCAGGTCTTCTGACCTTGCAGCACAGAGGCTTCTGCGGTTTAACCTGTAGTGCCACCATGTCCCTCTGTCTCTAGAGAGAACTTAAATACACAGTGTCTCAGAAGTATTTCAGTAAGGTCTTCATGTTATATAGTTTGAATACCATGTCATAGACATATTATTTATCATTATAAAAAACATATTTTACACTCTCAATATTTTTCAGTTTTTCTGGAAATAAAACAGCTTTGGAAAAAAATGGAGGGAAAACATGTTTTCCACCATACCTTCCCATCTCTATGCACAAAGCTGTTTTTCTGAATTAAATTTGCATACTGGGTAGCAAATATTATCTGGATCAATATGCTGTGGGCCTCTAAACTACTTACACATTTATTTATTTATTTATTTATTTGTTTGTTTGTTTATATCTTTGTTTGTTTGTTTATATCCTACCTATCTAGTCATTGAGACCACTCTAGGCAGCTTACAAACACATAATACGACAATAAATATTTTTTTTAAAGAATTATTACTTAAATTAAAAAAAGAATTATAAAAGAAAGAATATATTTTACTATCAAGACTCCTTTCCCCCAAATAGTCACAGGAAATAAAATAAAGACATTTTGCAGTTTGTCTAATACAAGGCTTGCAAGAAATCTAAAGTTGTAAAACATTTGTACTCCTGTCAGAGGGAAGTTAAGCAGCCAGGTAACTTGGTACCTTTGGAGAGATGGCTTCTATCTTTGCTGTGCTTTGCAATTTGTCTGGCCAAATGCAAATGTACCATGATTGCTTTCAAGCAAAAGTTCTTGAGTAACCAAAAGTGTGGAAGGAGGAGTCAGGATATCATAGGAGAGCACATGTTTTGCATGCAAAAAATGCCCGATTTAGCCTGTTCCCTATTCCTGTTGGTTTCAAATGGCCTCAGCTTGCTAAAGCAAGCTCTCCTGACCTGATTCACAACACTTTGGGCAAATATCTGCTTGCCAGTTCCTGTAAGACGCAAGCCATCTCTTGCCAGGAGCCCTTTCTCATGGAAGCACAGACTATGGTCAAGGTAGTTAAGCATTTCTCAGCACCCCATCTGTGCAACCAGTTGTTCAATATCAGGATTCTTGGCTCTCTTCCTAGGCCACAAACTTTGACAGGAAGGAGTGATGAAAAAATCCACTTGTGCCTTCAACTTCCTACCCAGAAGTGCAGTGTTAATTGGCCTTGATGAGTCTTGACAAGCCTTCTGTCATAACCTCGACCTTCACACAAGGAAAACAGCACACCTCCCAAGACATCCTGTCAGGTCCACAATGTGCTGCCTCTGCCTTCTCAGCAGGGAGTCACTTTCTGCCAACACACATCTCCTTCCCTCAGAACTGGCAGGAATGTTCCCATTTATAGCTTTTTGTCTAAAGTTGATCAGTTGCTTATCTTTAAAATACCACAAAAAACCTCTTTATTTGTGAAGATTAACAAGTTTAAAATAAAAACATTCATAACATCACTGTTTCATTTTATTTTTAAGTTGGTTCAGCCCTCGAACACAGTTCAGATTTTTCATGTGGCCCCCCTATAGAAATTAATTGCCCACCCCTGTATTAGAACCACATGATCTCCGGTCAATTCCACCAAACCCATGCAAAATGCCTCTTTTACTCACCCTATTTGTGAGCTCCCTCTGAGTATTTTATGTAACTACTTCTTAAAAGACTTGTGCATCCCTATGGAGCTCTGCCCAAGACTTCGTCTTCCATTTGTTTGTCAGCTTCTGGACCCGAGCTTAATAATACAGTGACTAAGCACATCTTTGCATAAGAATTGTGAGCGGGTTTTTGCATCAGAAAAATTATTATTAACTATACAGGGAACACTGTGAATTGAATGAATATTTCCATGTTTTCCTTGACACTGGATTCCTTGTTTAGTTAAGACACAACAGCTGACATCCTATTGCTATAACTTATGCCATGTAAAGCTGATGATGCCATCAGCAGCAGTGGTCTGTTGGACATTAAACACTTCCAGCTTCTTTGATGGGAGAACTACAGGCAGGATAGAAGTGCAATCACACCTTCCCACTCATGCTGGCAAACAACCGATACTGAGAGTCACACTGCCTCTGATATTGGGGGTAATAATTGTAACCATGAACAGTAATCATTTATAGAGCTTTTCTTTGTGGTTTTATAAAGCATTTCAGCTTTTATTTCTATGGTGAGAATTACAGACAGATTGACACCTGATTCATAGTTAGGATAGACACCTTGAGATAACTTGGATTTCATCTACATTAAATGTAGACACATTTAAATGAATAGAATTTACAGAGGTCTTGACTCACTAAATCTCCACTGCGGCAGTGGGCCTACTCTAGTGTGACTTGCTAAACTGAGCAACAGCATTCCAGCCATTATCTCAGTAAAAGCTCCTGATTTTACTATCTAGGTGACACTGTTCCTTCATGCAACTGAGAGTGAAAACTAACAGTCTAACAGACATGACTTTATGATTTCATGTCTAACCTGAGACTTGACGCTACCAGCATATATTCTTAACTAAGCTGCTTTACATAATTCATAGCTGGTGGAGATATTTCATATAAGAGTGTCATGCCTTGAAGCCTGTATTGTATTATTTCCAGGGCTACGTCAACTGAAAAGTCAAGAAGTTTCATATTTTGAAAATATACTGCTAGAAGTTCATAGGTACACATATGTACACTTCTAACAATGCTAAGATTAAAATATGATATGTAGAAATGTTGGAAGGGAATTGGACTGTAAATTGTAATTTGCTAAACAAAATCAGTAAAAAGATCAGCTAAATTAGTATGCATTTGCACTCTTGTAAAATAAGGTGATTCTCAGGTGAAAACCTGAGGCATTTTAGCTGTTTTGCGCATCATAATAAAACCAGTAATTGAGGTAGGCCAACTAATAATTCACAGCAGTCCTCCATACTTAAAACACTTCAAAATTCTATTCACACTTATCCATCTCACATATGAGCCAAAGATTAAGCTCTGAGCACCAAAAAGCAAGCAACATGGAGCAGAAGTATATTTTAATTAGCTTTCATTGTCACTGGATTTTTCTATCGAACCTTCTTCAAAATTTTCATCTTCATACTCATGAGCATCTTGGTCACTCTGATCTGATTGAGCCTCAGCATCTTCACCTTCCTCCTCTTCTGTGTCCTTCTTCTGCTCTGTATCTTCTCCTTTCTCGTCCTCCTCCTCCTCTTCTCCCTCCCCTTCAGTGTCCTTCTCCTGCTCTGCATCTTCTTCCTCCTCCTCATCTTCTGTTTTTTTCCCCTTCTGCTCAGCCTCCTCCTCCTCCTCCTCCGATTCAACTGACTGGACTTGTGACTTCTTCCCTACTTGAGATTTGTTTTCATCTAACTTGTTCTCATCATCACTATAGGGAAAAAGGGAAAAAATTCTTCATGCCAGGATCCTCCAAAGGACAGTTCATTTCTTTACAAACATTTTACAGACTAAGTTCTGAAATATCCACTGCATCACAGTCACAAGGAATTATTTCACACTCAACAACTAGCACAATTTTACGTTGCTGTGTAGAGACATAATGGTTATCTTTGAAACTATTAAATTTTACACAGCATTTTGGCTTTGGGGGTCTGAGAAGAAAGTCATGAAGGGAAGGGAAGGGAAGCCATGGCAGTGGAGGTGGAGTATGAAGAGAAACAGGATCAGCTATTGGTTGATTTTTGTTCATGCCCACCTCCATATATTATGTCTATCTCTATATATTATGTCTACAGCATTCCCACTATCTACCAAGGAGATTACCTGATCAAAAATGAGATAAGATTAGTCTGGCAGGATTTGTTCTTGACAAATCCATGTCAGCTTCTTGGTATTACTGCATTGTTTTCAAGGTGCTTGCAGAATGACTTTATTACAATCTGCTGCAGAATTTTATCTCGGATTGGTGTCAGGCTGACCGGTCTGTAGTTCCCTGGTTCCTACTTTTTGCCCTTTTTGAAGACCAGAGAGGACTTTGCTCAGTTGAGAAGAATTACCATTTCTGAAGGCCTCCAGGAACAGAAATTATTTTTTGAAGCAACAAAACAAAACAATTTTTTTGTCTGCAATTGATAGGAGGTATGTGCTGTCTACCCTGCTCTAGTAAAAGACTTTGGCTGTATCTACCTTCCAATATCTTTTTCTCCAACGATTTCAGAACCGTTGCTAGCATGGCTTTCCAAAAGAATTTCTGCAGCAGTGTGGCCTTTCTTTGAAACAAACTCTTCACACAGGCCCAGCCCTCGAAGTATATCAGTGTAATGCTTTTCTGCTGCTATCCGTGCATTTTTCTTTATTTAAGGAGAAAGAAAAGAATAACAGCATTAAATATCATAGTCCCAACCTTTTCAAATATGTAGTATGAATATGTGAAGGGCAATTGCATAAATATCCTTCCTGCATCTTTCAGCAACCTCTCCATTTTGTCACTAACTTCCATTAGCTGCAAAATTAAGTGCATGACTGATGACGTGAAGGACAGACCCGGGGGAAAATCCACTGAGCCAGTGCTCTTCTATGCATAGCTTTCCTTCACAGGATTTTGGCCACTGTCATCAAATAGTTCTTAGTTCAAAACACAAAAGACTTAAGAGCCATTAGCCATTCTATATTTGAAAATAATAAATACTACATTATTGTCAGAATACAGCTTCAAACTGTGGAATTTTTAATGAAGCACTCACAGCCCCCAGCTAGCAAATATTTTTGGCTGAAATCCAGTAGTAAGTCACAACTAAAGTAGACACGCTAAATCAGTGGGGATCTGTTTAATCTAGTTCTCCATAAATTCTATTGCTTCACTGCATCTACTTCAGTTGTGAGTTACTACTGGATTTCAGCAATTACATGTCAGGTTTTTTTCTAGCTGTTGTTCCTAGATACTTCAGCTTTCTCCAAGGGGACGGGGGGGGGAGGGGACCAAAACCAAACCAAATCCAAAACAAAGCAAAAATCTAACAAAAAAAACCAACCCTGCAGTACTGGGGAAAAGAAGTGACATTGTATCCTAGGTACTGCTATGCACCAGAAGCGGTGGAAGCTATTCCTGTGTTATTGTACTGTTTAACATAAGCTACCTTAGGATCCTTCTGGCTCAAAAGGCAGACTGCAATCAATCTGTGCAAAATTCCAAAGTCTGATAGTGTGATGTTCTCCCTGCTCTTCATTCTGTCTGTTAACTTGAGTGGGTTAGGACTTCAAGATAAGAGAAGTGAGAGCTTTACTGGAACTTTAGTGTAGACAGTTATAAGCAAGCAGGCAACAATCATGGTTTGTGGAGATAACTTTCATAAATGAAATGAGACCAGCAAGCATGATGCCAGTGTTGTGAAGGGGGTACGTGGCATAAGGGGGTGTTGTGAAGGGGGTAAGTGGCATACCTGAATGTCCAATAAAAAGAAAATGTGGCACCCCGATGATCAGAGATAAACTTAGCAAAGAGATTAGAGAGATCAATAACCTGTGTAACTTGTTCCAACAACAGTGGCCTCTTTTCCACCCTTTCTTCCATTTCTTCCAGTTCCTGCAGATATTCTTTCATTCTCTGCTTCTCATGCTTCCTGTTGTTTAATACACCGTGACATGGAAATGGTATGGGATTTAAATGTGAGCTTTTTTTTTAAGCAAAATGAAACAAAGGAAGGAGCAATACTAGGATATGCTGCCTGCTACTGCACTAATGATCTTGCAGCTAAGTGGCCAGGATTTGGGAACACACTGCACAATACCTGAATGTTTTTGACTTCGATTTATACATCTGAGCTAAGCTCTGATGCGGATCATTTGCCTCAGCCCGGATGGATATAAGTCTCTGCAGTTCTTTTGCTCTCTGTTTCTGTCTTTCTCTCCTCCTTTTCTGCTCTTCCTCTACCTTTCGTCTTTCTTCAGCTGATTCCCTAAATGAGAAAATAGACTAGAACTGAACAAATTTAAATCCTAAAAAGGTTTGCTAAGACTTTCTAAAGGCTATAGCCACATGGATCAAGAAACAATGCTTATGATGAATGATTAAGAAGTACGATTTTGGTTACATTTTCGTATTAGGGAACACAGGGAGCCATACACTAAATTGCCAGAGGGACAGTCCCAATTGCATTCAAGACCACTGGACTCAGGAAATCATTAGCACCACTGTATCCTCATACACACAGTCCAGAAGCCATCTGAAGATTAAACCAAGGAAGGGAGTCTTGGGTGCTGCTTCTCTGTCTTGGTCCTTAATCATCCATTCATTAAACCAGGGATAGAGAAGGTGTAGCCTGTGACTTGCATGTGCCCTTCCCTAGTCAGGCCCAATTCTAAATGTTAAAATAATGGCTTTTAAAGTCCCCATAGCTCTTAAGAGGTGTGAGAGGCAACTTTACCATGATGGGGGCAGGCGGGCAGCAAGTACTACTGGATTCCCCCTCCCACTTCTCAAAATATTGTAAAATTGTAATTGCCACTAGATGGTACAAGGAATAACCATGGGAGCGAGTGAAGCTCTACAGTTCCAGGAGTGGGTGTTTGTAGCCCTTGGAACCTCAGAAGGTTGCACATTCCTGGATTAAACCTATTGTGTCTGAAAAAAAATATCATGTTTCTCTCAGGAACAATGGCATGCAGTGTCTTTATGTAAGCTGCTGGTACGATGGCATCAGGTGGGAACAAAGATTCTAAGGTCCATTGTGATTAAGGGACAACTAAAATGTTTGCTTGTGCCTCATACTACCAGTCACTTGAACAGAGTGTTAGTATTTTATCTCCTTCTCAATCACTTTTCACTCATTCCAGTTTCTTCCCTCTTTCCAATTCGTTCTTATGCATCTAAGAATTTAACAGATAACATGGGGGTGTGTGGAATGGAAGACAAAGACAGGAAAATTCCCACACCCCATTGTACTTTGCCATTCATATCAGGTAAAAATCAAGACACAATGGGAAAAATGCATTTCCTAACACTATGATCCACAATTGTCTATATAAAATATTGGCCTTTACTCAAAACCCACACAAAAGATGAGCAGAGATGTAAAATTGGTGGGTCTGCATCGTCTGCAATCTGTCTTGATTGCTCAGCCCCTTGTATTACAGATATGAGTAAGTAGGCCTATTAATGGATACTAACTGGGAGCTATTAGTGACATTTAAGACATACAGAAGTGCTAAGTGTAGCAGACACCCTGCCTTCCTATATATGTAATGGTATTAGCCTGCAGCAATGGGAGTTGTTGGGAGGCAGAGCCAGCTATATAGAAGGGGGGCTGTAGCAGAGTGGAAGGAGATAGGGAAGAGAGATGAGAGTCTGAAGTAGAAGTTACTCTGCAGTAGTTAGAGAGGGTAGCAGAGTTGGGAGTTTAAGAGTGTGGAACTTAAAGAGAACTAAGAGAGTTAAGAGTGAAACAAGTTATTATTAACCTAATATTCACATTAAAGTTTGTGAAGAACCTGCTTGAGCAAACTGTAATCAATTAACCTGTGTTATTCAACTTTATACTCAGCTTAGACGTCAGTCTTTCTAATTAAAGGGTGTTGACAGAGGTCAACTGGTGGCAGCGAGGTAAAGGATGAGTTGAGATACTCGCATGAGCTCTGTGTTGGGTGAAACAAGCAGGGGCCACATAAGTAAATGTCACACTAAACTTCTAGTGATAGTTCAGATCTCTTAAATCCAGACACCAAGTTTTCTGGACAGTTTCACATCAGCCTTGAATTTCAGTAAAGATGATAAGCACTTCACTGAAGACATATGACAACAGCTAAGACACATACGTATTTGATACCTTATTCTAGCAATTTTTTTCTTCTTTCCGCCAACAATTTGGAATTAATTTATCATGGCTGCACCAGTTCGTGCCAACAAATGACTTACCTAATGGCTTGTAATCGTCTTCTAGTAGATTCTGTAATCCTTGGAGTTATAGATTCTTCACATCCTGAAGATGATCTTGCACTCAGACGCCTCATCTGAGGGCTGCATCTTAAAGAAGCATAAGGCCAACGTGTTTCTTTTAACTTTTCTTCATCCATTTGGATGTCCTCAAGAATCTTCTCTTTGTTGGAAGGGAGAGTTGCCGTGCAGAGGCTGAAGGGTTCACAGACTGTGCTGGGCATCACGTTCTTCCGTCTCTGAAGTTGTTTCTGGAATTTTTTATGTAATGTCTCAAAATCTGGGACCTTGGTTTTGAGCTTTGACTTGCATTCCAGCTCTTTACTTTGTTCAAGACGTTTTTGAAGCCTACATTTATTGGCTTCTCTTGTTCCTAACCTGGTGTTGGGAAGGGAGGAATTACGTAGAAGCTCTTCTGATCTCATCTGAATTCTAATTTCTCTATACAGCTCTTCCTCCTTTAGTTTCTCATTAATTTCTGAGCTGTAGACAAATTTAGGAACTGGCTTTGCTTTGAAAACTTTCACCTTTTGAGGTGAGGAAAGGTCGTTCAGTTGTAGTTTCCTCATTTCTTTCTTCTGTGCTTCTCTCTCAATAAACTGAAAAGGCTTTTGTGTGGATAGAAGGAGTTCTCTCCTCTTTTCTCTAAGTGATTTCCTACGTTCTTCATTTTCCTGCATTATTTCATGATAGAGAGGGACAAAGACATAAGCTGGCACTGGATTGGCTCGAAATTTCTTTTGACACTCTGCTTCCTCCTCTAACTGTTTCTTCAGCAAGTTATTTTCCAGTTCAATCAGTGACTTTGATTTGATGTTCTGTTGTTTTTTCTTAGCTTCTCGAATAGTCATCTGGAAGGGCCTGGGGACTGTAACTTTTGGGGACCATTTCTTCTTCTTCCTGCTGCACTTTTTAATAGTATGTAGATTGAATAAAGTACTCTTGGTACATAGGGAATAATCCTCCAGGGATAACCCATCCCATGCATTGTCAGTTTGATCATTATGAAACAATAGCAATCCATCTTCACTATCATTTTCTTCTAAGTCTTTATGAGATATATTAGACAGACTTGAACTAAAAGAGTTGCTTAAGTCTGGCTCAGAAACTGATTTATGCAAATTTTGAAGCTGAAAAATGTTCTTGTCCCATGTTGACCTAAAGACAACAAAAAATGTGAAAGCTATTTCAATGCAAGCATCAGAATCTAACCAGACTGTATGAAAGACACTGCCTTTGCGAATGAGAACAGAAGCAGGATCCACAGAGGATGCTTCAAGTCTACAGAACGCAGATAGCGTAGTAGACTGAGCCTCATCATTTTCCTTGCTGAAAGCCTAAGAAATAGTTCTCTGTGCCAAAATTTTAAATAGCCAAACATTTTCAGAAAATATGTAATGTGTTGATACAGTTTTATTAATAAATAGTAATAGTAATAAATAGTGTTCTTCTTTTAGCACACCTGAATATTAACTATAGAGGATGTAAACAAGAAAGTGCTTGTGGAACCATAAAAAAGAACAACTTTCATTTGACACAAGCTTTTGTGGGCTCTTTATCAGACACATGTCAATTGGTTCACACCACATAACATGCTGGTGGATGGGGCAATGGAAGTGTTCAGGTCCCAGCAAGTTAGCCACTACATCTTTTGCAACATTCATTAACCTAACAGATTAAGATAGAACACTGAAAAAATGAAGGGAAAGTCAACCACCTGACTTCAGCTCTCCCACAGAAAGTTATTTTAATGACAGTGTGAGGATCTGCCTGTGGTTCACTAATGCTCATGTGGTTCACTTCTGTCCTCTAGAAGAAAGCAATGGGAAGAAGCAATCTGTATCCCTATTCCAATTGCTTATCCACGCCTTCACCATCACCTCTGCTGGCCAGGATTTCTGGGAGTTGAAGTCCAAGAACATCTGGAGGCCCAAGGTTGGGGACCACTGCTCTAGAAGAAAGCAATGGAAAGAAGTAATCTGTATCCCCATTCCAATTGCTTATCCACAGCTGACCTTCATGCAGCAGGATGGGTCATTTTAGTTCTGTACAGTCACACTGCAGAATACACACAGAACAGGGCAATGTATGTATTCTATGACATTGCTATCTGAAGCAAATGTCTCAGTGTTCGACCATTTCCCATGTAGCTTTTATTTTTATAAGACAGGCAAAACAGAGCAGGAACAAAAATTGTACCAATAAATTATTGCTTTTTTCCCACTGGGATACAGTTGTGTATTATTGTGTGTGTTGTGTTGTTCTGTGGTCTCAGCCAATATAATGTACCAGAACAAAATGGGGGGGGCTTTTGGGGGAGAGGTATATCTCAATGACTTAGGCATCTGGCTGCAGAGGCAGGGGTTAGGAATTTGAGTTCTTCTTGGGAGAGAAGCCAGCAAAAATCACCCAAAGCATATGTGATTGAGGGGATCTTGTGTCCTGCCATCTATTCAGCCTTGGGTAACTTGCATAGCCCAGGCCATTATCAGAAGGAGGGAGTAAAGCACTGCCTCTTGGTACTTTATACCCAGATAATACTAAATAGGTCAACCTAAGTTGGAATTGACTTAATGGCACATGACTATTGTTGTTGTTGCTGATGTTGTTGTTGTTTCATCAACCATGAAGCCAAAAAGTAGAAGTGGCAAGTCTAGTCATCAGTAGACTGTCCCAATTCTTTTTGATTACTGCATCTTTTGAGGAGTTTTATGTTGATGTTCAGGTTCGTGTGTGTATGTGTGTGTGTAATTGATTTTATTGGAATGTACTCTGGTTACCAATCACAATATAAATTATTATTATATTTTTATTATGTTACCTTAACCCTAGTTACCTTAACTTTGGATAGCCCTTGTAGAGTGCAGACTAAAACCTGGAGTGAATTTACATCCCCTTTCCACAAAACGGGAGCCACCAGCCTCCAGGGGTCTGTGTTACACTTATACCAGCCCGTAGTAAGTCTGGAGCTGTCTTCCCCAACCTTGTGCCCTCAAATGTTTTAGACTTCAAGTCTCACAATCTCTAACTAACGGCCAGTGAAGCTGAAGCTGATGGTAAAACATCTGGACACCACTAGTTTGGAGAAGATAATTCTGAAGGATAAATATATCTCATCTAATATATAAATCTTTGCGGTTAGATCTAGACTTTGGATTAATCTTTCCTCCTGCAGACGTGTGTCTCCCCAAAAGCCACCCAAAAGCACTGGAGAACCCTATGGAAGAGCAATAGCAGGCAACACTATATATATTTTTTCCCACCACAGAACCCTCCACTAGAACAAGGTCTCTTCCACAAATGGAAGATCCTTCTCTTTATATAAGCTCAAGTCTGTAACTAATCAATTGTAAACCACAAGAGGTGTGAGGTTTCTCAAACATTTTATACTACACTGAAAAACATTAAAATCAAAGCCAGTTTTTTAAAAAAATCTATGACTCCATATTTATAGATAACTAATATATTGATTGAGTGAAATATAATAAAACACTTATCGTTAGACTTCTTCCTTGTTCTGCAGGTAGCTGAGAATGTGGCCAGTTATAGGATCTAGGTGAATTCAAGATTCTTTCAGAACTTTGAAAAATCAAGATTTGTATTTACAGTACCTCTTAGCATCTGGTATGTCAAATGGAGCCAAAATTTTATTGCAGTGGCATCAGCCTATGTATTAATCTGCAACACTACTAAAATACAGTATTTAACATTTTCACACAAAAGAAAATCCAGAAGTAAAAGATTATTATAAGCCATACCTGTAACTCATACTATGGTTCACATCCACGCTGGATAAAGGCTGAACTCCTTTTAGATAGAGTTTAGTCTGATACATGCTCTCTAGTTTGGCCATGGTCTCCATATGAGCATTTTTAAGCTCTTCCAACTTTAGGTAATATTCTTGATTTGAAAGATACATTTTAGAGAAGTCTATGCATTCCTTACAATCAGTATATGCAGTGGAACTCTGCTCCCTCCCAGGGCTGAAATTGTCCTAAAAAGAGATATTATCAAAACAGCTTTTATTAAACTGAACATGATTTTGGCAAACAGAAGGTGTCATAAGCAAATCTGACAATTCAGCATATCTCAGTGTTTGAATCTTCAGGTACTAATGGCCCAGATGAAGTACAGTAACTGTCACATGGCCACAACTCCCCAAGCTGTTTCATGTGGTATCACTTAAAGAAGTTCTTTTGGGGCAGCAGACAAAGTCAGCAGAGTCCATTTCCTACAACTTCAACATCAGATCAAAACTCTGCTGTCTGTCATAGTCAGAGCGCCAAGCGATTGCTCCTCGGCAAGTAAGCACAGGATAATCCTGTGAGAACATCCACAGCATCTTTCGTGAAGCAATGGTTTGTCCCAATAAGCGTAAAAGAAAATATTATTTCTCCAATCCAGTAGAAAGTACACCAACAACATATGACAGGCAAGGGAATGTTGCTGTCAAAGGTTAGGTGCTGCAGGAGGCATTTGCTGACACAGGGGACTAGACTATAAAGCAGCACCTATGTAAAGTTTCTGGAACAGTTTCATATAGTTATTTGTAATATTTCTGTTTGTAATATTCTACAAATAATCACATTTCAGCAATACATATACTGAAACACTGTACACGGTTCTGTTCAGCTGTGCATAAATGTGTTTCATGTCCTTTGATACAAAGCTCATTAAGAGATTTAGACAGATTTCAAGAAAACCATCTGGCATCTGCCCTTTCAAATTGTACTCATGCTACCTAAATGTCACTGTTTGTTATTTTAAAATTCCTACAAATAATACCTGTGGCAATTCCTCCATGTAATACAGTGCAATGAAAATCAAAGCACTATCATAAAGGACTAAAGTAAGATATTTCCCTAAGCTGAAGAAATGTGAAAGTTCTAAAACATGAGTCTTCAACCGTTTGTAGAAAGCAAACTTTAAAATGTGAATCTTTTCTCTTATAATGGTAGAATATAGCTCATCAAACTGCATTCTTTTCCTTCTTACCACCTTCCATATATACTCACATCAAAGTTACTGCCACATCACCTCCATTCTCAGCCAGCAGGGTGTACAGGAGGCAACAGAAGTTTGGCCATTCCAGCAAATCGATCACTGCCCACCTCAGGTGAAGGGTCCCTCAGCCAATCCACCCCTACCTGCTTCCTTACCAAAGGCAGAATGTCACAGTCCCACCTGAGTTTCTTGTTTTGCTACACCTACAGTTCCATCACACTCTGTGAGGGCGAGTGGAGGAAGAAAGAAAATGAGAGATAAATGAAATTTTTAATAAGACAGAACATGAGTGGAGAAAGCTAATTGCCCATCTTTGGACCCAAGCACAGAGAAAAATGGATCAATACAAATCAGTTGGTAAGGTGCATTTTTCTGCTCCTCAGCTGAGTTGTAAAATGAATTAACAGACCAGGAGTGAGGCAGTCTTTGCAGGAAGGCTTGCTTACCTGCCTTTGGGAGAAGGGAGGTAGGGGTTAGAGAGACAGAGAACTCTCACCTGTTTGTCTCTCTCTTTGTGCATACATGCATGTAGCCACTTTTTGCCTCTAGTTACGCCCACTGCTGGCTGCTGTGCATTTCATCTCACCGCTGACAGTGAGAGACATATGAAGCCATGGAACCTCTCATAAAATATACCCATATTTTTTCCTATCATTGTTGCCAAGCAGAGGAGGAGGCCTATAGCCATTCGGGAGTTTACACAGTTTAACAAGGTATCCAGCAGGAATAAACACTTGCAGTATGGTCAATTTTGGATTCAAACCATCATTATAAAAACAGCCCCCTACAAGAGAAAGTTCATGTGAGATATTAATCTCTAGACCATGCAGAAAGTTTCATTATGCTGAGAATAACATTACTATTTAAATGAGCATTACTCTCATAGCTGTATGGGGGCAGAGAGCACAAGCATAGTTGATTTTGGTAAAAGCCTTCCAATGCTTAAATGAAGAACTTTTCTTCTTTTATAAAACTAGCTAAATAACTACAGGATAGGGAAACAAATGTTAGTACTCATAGCTGGAGGTCTGTGACGTTCTCAGCTGCTGAGATACTGCAGGTGCAGTGAGTCTTAAAGGTTGAGTTGTTATTTTTTTCCCATCATGCTCCCGATAAAAGTCCAAGAGTGGGTCCAGATGAGGCTTTCATCGAACAATTGCTTTGCCTTATTTGTTAGGTGAGGGAAAGAGCAGTAAGTGATTATGATGCCTGCCTTTCAACGACACCTTTTGTCCTATGTTCCTCCAGAAAATCTTTTAAGGAGTAATAGACAGCTGTATAGTGTCTTTTAATTGCTAGCATGTGCAGCTCTCTGTATGAAAATGCTTCAAGAATTAAGCATGTAGAAATGGAAGTGAGAAGGTGGATGTACTAATTCAGCTATAATCCATCCAGATGGGATAATTATTTGTTTTCTAGATTAGTGGTTCCAAACTAGTGGTACACATCTTTTATCATGTGCTATCAAATCATTACCAATTTGAGGTGACCATATGAATTTGTGATCTCCAGAAGGTCCTGTTAATAACAACTCTGCTTACTCCTTGCAAACTCAAGGTTGTGGTTTCTTTACTGAATCAATGCAGCTCATATTTGGCCTTGGGGTTTTTTCCTGCTGCTTTCAACAATCCCTCACAGAATTTCTCTTCTAGTTTTCCAGTTTCAGCACATCCTACTAGTGAGATGCCACAAGTAGCTTTCGTGGGATGTAGTGCTGTAAGCAATAATTAAATTACAGTATTATTTTTGTGTTTGAGTTGTAGCCATAATGTTTATTCCCAACACCACTGCACTTTTACCTTCACAGTGAAAATTACACTCAATAGCATTATCAGTTTTCAATTACAAATGATTGTATTCCCAACAATATCACTGAAAGTTTTCATGTCATCAAAACTTACCATAAATGGTAAATATAAGAGAATGCCTATGGATACTTAAATGGCCTTCTTCAGAAAAAAGGATTTTTCCCCTTTTCTTGGCTGGGTCAGTTTTTTTGTTTTGTTTTTGTAAAAGTGACTGCTGAGGTGTGAGATATAAAAGGCTGAGAAACACTGATCTAGATGGTCCATCAAAAGCCATTCTAATTGTTACCAAATATCTTCTCTCAGAATAATTTTTCCAAGTTTAGGAAAGGGGTGAAATAACTTTCCACAAATGTAAGTGGGCTGCCTTCTGGGAAGAAAGCGACAGAATCAGGCTTAAATGCGACCACTGCACGCTTAGGACGAAGTCCCAACTGTTTGCCATGGGAGTTGCCAGCCCCCACTTCCTTTGACTTTAAGAGATGTCCAAGCAACAGACATTCGCTTCTTCCCGCAAAAAAATAAAATAAAAATAAAAAACATTCCCGCAGCCAAGCTCCTAATGCCCCATTTGAGCCCCTCCCCCCACCCGATCACAGCCAGAAGCAGAGACCACAGCCCCCAGCCCGGCGCTCCTCCCGTCCTTTTCCGCCCGAGCCACTAGGTGGCAGCAACTGCTGTCCTTGGGGGTCCGCCGACAGGGGGGCGGCCCCCGCATACCGACCTGCCACTCGCGAAGGCCAGCCGCGGGGCTCTCTGGCTCCCGCTCGTAGCGCGCGACCGGGACTCGGGTCCGTGGGTGGACCGGCGTGTGGAGACAGGAGACGGCGAGCAACGCCGCTCGGTGGGCCGCGTCCATGGCTCTCCGGACGAATGACAGCTGGCCGGTTGCCGGCCGGCCGCCGTTGCTACGGCTCCTCGCTTGGGACGCTACGGCCTTCACTTGCGAAACAAAGAGACCACCGCCGGCCTAAGAGCCTCTTTGCTGGAAGTCGGACTTCCTGATTGCTACCGACACCTATCCGTCAGTCCCCGCCCCCCCACACACACACACCCGAGTCAGGCAAGAGGCACCGTAGGAAGACGAGGGAGAAACCCAGGCCGGGGAAAACGGGCTGCAAATGGGCGGCTGAGATCTCAAAGTAGCGCCCCAGGGGAGGCCAGGGTGTATCCAAAAGGGGGATGGGGGGGGGGAAAGAAATGGAGAAATACGAAGAATAGCTTCTCCCACTCCCACGTCACCCGTGAGGGGAGGGGAGGAGGCTGCCAGAGAAGTCCATGCCCGTTAGGCATAGTAAAAAGCGCTGCCCACTCCCTCTCCCTGTAAGTACACGGGGAGAGCCGCAGCGGCAGCGTTACTGTAAGCGCCTAGGGCTGTTCAGGAGTTAAGTCAGAGAACAGGTACAGCCTGTTCAGCACAAGTCTGAACAGCGATGCTCTGTGTACTCGTACAGTCAAAATCTACAGGATGCAGGGATCCAACAACTGTAATCAGTATTGATGAAATAATCAGAGAAGGACCTTCCACTATAGGTTAAAGGTTCCCCTTGACAATTTTTGTCCAGTCGTGTTCGACTCTAGGGGCCGGTGCTCATCCCTGTTTCCAAGCCACAGAGCCAGCGTTTTGTCTGAAGACAATCTTTCCGTGGTCACATGGCCAGTGCGACTTAGACACGGAACGCTGTTTGCCTTCCCACCCAGGGGGTACCTAATTATCTACTTGCATTTGCATGCTTTTGAACCGCTAGGTTGGTGGGAGCTGGGACAAAGCGACGTGAGCTCACCCCGTCGCGTGGATTCGATCTTACAACTGCTGGTCTTGTGACCCTGCAGCACAGGCTTCTGCGGGTTAGCCCACAGCGCCACCACGTCCCGTGGTGTAACTATAGGTTACATTAACATAAACGTGGGTGTATGAATACACACGCATGCACACAGACAACATCCCTACTACTCTTGATGTCAGTAGGCCATCCCCACCTCAGAAAAAAAAAATCTAAATCTAGTATCAGCAGTGAAATCATGCATTTCTTTTACTAACATATTTGCAAAGTGGCTGCTTTTTCACAAGTTGAAATGGTAAATAAGGTTACAGCTCTATACATCTAAAATATGTCCCATTTAACTCATGGAGCAGGAAAACGGTATTACCACACCTGCTTTCATTTAGTCTACTAATACAATACTATGCAGAGGATGTAAAAATATTTAGAATTGCAGTTAAGGAACTAAAAGCTCTATCCTTTTCATTTGGTCTTGAAACACTTAAGTGGGACATACCAAAGTACCTAGACTAATTTGTTGTATAATATAAACCACAAGCACTTATCTTAGAATAACATATTTTTGTGTCCTAGGTAAACAGGAAGATTATAACCTTATGCTAACAAACTATTCTGTGCACAATAGAATAGCCTGAGTCAAAGACCAAGGCTATAAACCAGAAAGTACAATCCTTCCCTGCATCATTATGCAACCATTGATAAACTGCTAGGGATTAATATCTCATCTTGCAAGTAATTAACGGTTCTACCAATAGTACCAGAGGTGGAGTTTGCATAATCAGATGCATATACTTCTACTCCCCAATTGTTAGTAACTGCACAGGTAGCATGCCTTACAAACCTGCCTTGCCCAGGGCAACAGCCACAAGCTGCTATTCAGACAGGGTGTTCATCATTACTCTTCTCACCTTCAAGCCAGAAGGATTCCTAACAGTCTGAAAACAATTTGAGTATCCCAAAACAAAGAAGTTGCCAATTGGTAAACACACAATGAAAACATTTATTTCACCAAGCCTACAGTATATTTTAAACACCATTTTTCTACATGGTTCGTTAAAACTGTGCTGCAGGGTCAGAAGATCCAGCAGTCGTAAGATCGAATCCACGCAACGGAATGAGCACCCGTCGCTTATCCCAGCTCCCGCCAACCTAGCGGTTCGAAAGCATGCAAATGCGAGTAGATAAATAGGGACCACCTCGGTGGGAAGGTAAACAGCGTTCCGTGTCTAAATCACACTGGCCATGTGACCACAGAAAGATTGTCTTCGGACAAAAACGCTGGCTCTATGGCTTGAAGAGCGGGATGAGCGCCGCCCCCTAGAGTCGGACACGACTGGACAAAAATTGTCAAGGGGAACCTTTACCTTTCGTTAAAACCAAGGATTTGAGTTTTCCCTCCAGTTTCGTTGCAATCAGTTACTGTAAAACTCCATGTCTAGAGCTGAAAGGCATTGTGTTGAAGGTTATTATTAAGACCTTCCCTCAAAAACTTTATAATAGGTATTACAGAGGTTCTGCAATAAGCTGAACTTGCTCCCCCCCCCGAATTATCCCTATTCTAAACAATGTTGAGCTGCATCCAGTCAAGTCTTCATGTTTCCTCAGCCCATTAAGTTCTCCTTCCTATTAACTTTGCCCTAAAGCAGAGGTCCCAGACCCCCAGTCCGTGGTCCGGTGCTGATCCATGGCCTGAGTTGGAGTAGGCCGCGGAGACGGACCTCACCACCAACCCACCCACCCCCGCACACACTCCCCCTGCACAGCCTTTGCGCATGCATGCCTGCACCCATGCAAGCACTCTGCCACCCCCTCGCGCATGTGCACACCCACAGGAGCACCCTACCGCTCCTTCGCCCTGCACAAGAGAGCGTTCCTTCGCACATCCGCATGAGCGCGGAAGGGTGCCCCACCTTCCCCAACTGGTCTGCGGGGTTAAAAAGGTTGGGGACCACTGCCCTAAAGGATGTGTATACTTCATTTATCTTCAGTCTTCTAGTTTTCAACTTTTAAATTTTTATGTTTTTTTAACTGCATAATCCAGCAAGATTCTGTCCTTCATGTATCGCAAGATAACAAGGCTTAGATGTTACCCAAAACAGAAATCAAATTCAGAAACAGGGATGAAATTCCACAAGATGGGCACAGATATTAAATTTCCCACATGATGCTATTCTCATCCTGTAATGACGATGTCATCTAGAAACATTAGAGCTACACCCACAGAAAATAAGATCAACTTCAGTGCAGCTGCAGGTGATGGGTGTAATAGTGGAGACATAAAGGATCTAATTATGTTAGAAGGCATGATGCAAAGTTAAGCATTCCTGGAAAGGCATATGTTTAACTCTTCTATCAATGCAGTGGGATTTAAAAGAGGCCATGATTCAGTTAATGGTAAGCAGAACTGGAAAGCAACAAATAGAATGTGTCTCTAGATATTTAGTTAAGAAATCAAACAATTTCTGCCTTTAGAATGTGAGGTTTTATTAATTTAAATTGACAAAAGTACATTAATATGACTGGAAGATAAGCAGATGTCGAACACAGAATTTCTGTGAAGCCAAATTCTAAACTTATGATGCTTTGAAGAGCTGTGGGGCATCTTCTTCCTTTAGTCACTTTATCGAGTATTTACCTGCAAAGAAAACAGAGATCACTACATAACTACAATAGCTACTGTATTAGCTCTCAATATCTCATTATCCTTTCTGTATTCCAGCACTTTCATTTCATAATTCCTTTATCAATCTCAAGAACAGATTACTTCAGCACCACTTTAAAATACTACATTTATATTTGTGTGCTAATATTTCAGTTGGAGCTATCATATTGATTTAAGATACAAATTTGTTGATAATGCAACCATTTGACAGCAGTACTTAAACTTACCACATCATCAATCTTAAGAATACTGCGAACAGTTTCTGTAGCTAAGGTCAAAGCACTGATGGACACCAATAATGGCTGGACCACTAACTCTTCTAGGATATTGGATATTCCACCCTGTAATTTAAGAAGTGGAACTTTAGTTTGTAAGAAATTGAAAACACAACTCTTCAATTTAAAAAAAGGATTTCTTGATATTTTATTTATGAACTGAGGAAATTTACTTAATTCAAGCAATTCACTGAAGCATATCCAACACCTTTATGAAGAATTTTTCAGCATGCTATGTCTGTTTGAAGTAAAAATTCTGTTCCTGTCTGGTATATATACAAGACACTGCTAGCACTGGGAACCAGGCTACATTTCCCTGTGTAGAAGCTCTTTCTATTTCAAGTTATCTCAATTAAATCAAATTATTTTGTGGTCTAGATTAGAATATGTATCTTAACAATAAAAATATTATTAAATCTCCCAGGGAAATGGTGGCCTCTAGAATATTTTTGACTCCTATCATCCATATTCAGGATGGCAATTTTAAAGGATTATGGGAGGTGAAATCTAAAGCAGCTGGAAAGCCAAATGCTCCCCACCAATGACATAAATTACACTATGCATAGAAACCAATATAACATTGGTAAAGTGTTACTACAAAAGAACATACAACAAAACTGTCACTCTTCTTGGTAGCAATCTACCATGCAGGTGTCCATGCACATCAGTAGGTTTGAAATTATGAAAAGTGAGCCACCTTTTCTTCTGACGATCTACAAACTGAGCCAGATGTACAGATTTTTGTTCCTTGTTGGTCTTATACGGCTTTCCCACCCCAGCCCCACTTAACATACCACTTTCTCTTTGCTACAAATAGCATTAAAGAAACTGATATGTATTAGGATTGCTGTGGGAAGGTCTACATCTCACTATCACCCTCAAACCGCCCTCAGAGACCCATTATTACCATAAGTGAAATAGTCATTTGCATCAGGATAGTTAAAAGGAGGAAAGATTAATGTCTCCCGTCTATCAACTAACCTGATGTAATGGCTTACAGTACTTACTAGCAGCAAGGAAACAATTATCTGAACCCCTTCTTCATCCATTTAAACATGATCTTTCCTGGGTGCTAAGATGCAGCAAATGCATACATCACTTGACACTACATGCATGCATCTATCTAAGGAAAAAAAAAACACTGCACATCCCTGCTACCTATGGGCCAGAAATCCCAACAGACACAGAGTCTCTGAGCATATGGTACATTCCTACATTCATCTACTCATTGTATTGGAAAAAACACAAACAGGATCATGTTCAATTACTGTATGTCAACCTAGATTCCAATTTAGGAGCTGTCACATTTCACTTATAAAAGAAGATTTTAACAGCCACATATCCGAAGTGACCTTTATATTATATTACTCTTCTGTACAGGTTGAATGTAGGGGTGCTGGTAACATCTGACAGCCAATACCCAGATACTAAAGAGTTAACTCTCTCTTTCTCCCTTTGCTTATACAGTGTGAGTGCAACTATTTTAACTTAATTTAGTTCATCTGTCAAGCAACTACACAGCACTTCATCAAAATCAAGTATTAATCAGCAGTTTTTACTAGCAGTCAATTTCATAACCCAAAATATATACAACCAATTTAAAAGATTATATGCAAAAGTGACACATTATGAAAATACAAGTATTAAATAGATCATTTTTTTCATCTCTGAGAAGTAATCAATGTATTAATACAGACAGAGCCCAAAACAACACAATGTAGCACATTTGTTTATGGCTGCCATCTAATATTATAATGATAAATATATTTTGACCACTTGTTTTAAGTTTTGCCTAATTCAGTACACATGCTGTGAGCAATCTGATCTGTAACACAGTGAATTCAAACTTAAAAACGAAGTTCTACAAAAGAGTCACGTTATGCTTAGGGACATATTTAGGTTCTGTTGCCACTTTCCTCATTACCTTTCTGACATTAATGCCAGCGGTCTTCTCTCCTTGTGCATGTCTATTTCTTAGCTCTGTTACAGTAGAAATTGGATTAAGGCCTGCATTTTCAGCCAAGGTAGATGGAATAATTTCCAGGGCCTCTCCATAAGCACGGACACAGTAAGACTCCATCCCACTTAAAGTCCGAGAATATTCATTCAAACGTAATGCCAACTCTATTTCTGGTGCTCCGCCACCTGCAATCAGGGCTCTGAAATTAAAAATGTACTATGAAACTTTTAACAGGGACTTTTTAGCAGAATGATGATTTTATTGGTCCATGAAGCTAATATGGTACCTTTTTTTAACCAAACAGCGGATGACACACAAGGCATCATGAATCGAACGTTCAGCTTCTTCTATCACCAATTTGTTGGACCCACGTACCACAATTGTTACAGTTTTCCCAGGGCTAGCACAGCCTGTAATCTGAAGCAAAAAACAACAAAGCAAAACAGATAATCTCTCCCTTTTATCACAACAATATACCCAAAACAAAAAACACGCTGATCACCACAATCACCCATCTCCTGAAAAGGACAAAAGCTGATCCCACAACTATAAATACTCAACTATCCAAACAAACTGCACCAGAGCACAGTCAGAATTCTGACTCTTGTCCTCTGAAGATGCCAGCCACAAAGACTGGCAAAACGTTAGGAAGAACAACATTCAGAATACAGCCAAAGAGCCCGAAAAACCCACAACAACCATCAAAACAACATTATTACAATGTCCATTTTCAGATTCACCATTACTGTTTTATGGACTACATTCTTCAATGTCAAACTAAAGAGCAATGACAACAATCATCGCAATGAAGTAAAACCAAGTACAAATTCATTTTGACAAATACCATCAAGCAGTGTAGTATTAGAGCAGAAAATAATTCTATCATGTTACAGCTTACAATAATGAGTGCTGGATGTGTTATGATCTCATATTTAACTTATATTCTGCTTCTCCATTCAAATCCTAGGATATATTCTTGGCTGCCATGACATGCTTAAGACATGCTGACAAGGTAGTTTCAGGGTGACCAAACCAATCAATCTAAGCAACTTTAGAAAAGCATCCAGTAAGCAGGACACTACTCCAATTCTTTATCTTTGGACAGGAGATGAGATGCAGCAAAGCCTGTAGGTTTCTGGCAGTTCTCTGCTGATCACATCTCTATTCACCACAAACTGTCTTGCCAGTACATGAAGTCTCAGAGGTAGGTTTTCACATGCAGAATCATATCAAGTGTTAATCTCCCCTATTCTGAAATAAGACAGCTTCCCATCACAAATCACACCGGCCCTGGCCACACGGTGAGAAGACTTTAGTGGCAATGAGATAACATACGTAAGGAAACTACATTATGCTGAATTCACAGAAGATGGAAATAATAATCTAACCCCCCCTTTGTATGGGGAGACACAATTGTTCATGGATGGCACACTCTTCAACTTAATTCATAATTCCTAACTGTGTCTGAACAGGCAGCCTAAATACCTTCTAGCCACCCGTTTTCTGAGAAGACTGTTGTCATTTACTATATGAAAATCAAATTACTGATCATACAAGGCCATCAGTCTGCTTATGCTAATGTAATGTCCACCTGGGGAGTATTCTCCCGGGAGCGTCAGAAGTTTTGTTCATGAGGAATACAGCATTACTTTCTTTAACGGAACTGGGTAAGCAGAATTACTTCAGCAATTCAAAATGGCTATTTTCCAGGCACATTTTAAGAGGCCAGTTTTCCTCTAAAAATTCCAGATGGCTTGGCCAATCCCAAATTAGAATCTACAGCCCTCCAACAGTCCTACTACATTCTCTTGATATTAGAGAAGGGTGGACTTTTAAGGATGGTATTACTCTGTTCAATCAGGTTTAGAGGTTTTAATGACTTTTATACAGGGCAACATAATATATAGCTAAATATGAGCTCTCCTTACCTTCACTAGTTTTCCAGATCCATTTAAATTCACTTCTTCTGCAAGTTCAGCAGTTCCCAGCATATCACCAGTAAACTGATCAATATGAGCAACTGGCTTTGTTCCAATTGTCTTTTTAAAAAACAAAACACAAAGAGAGGCCCTGGTCAGGCAAAACATAATATTCTTCGCTTTCGCGAATATATAATATTCTTCCATTTCCTTTACCTTGCACACCCTGAAGCTGCAATCATTTGTTCAGCAAGTAAATGGATAAGTCCATTAAATTCAACAGGACAATCGTGAGCAAACACATACATTATGGATGTATCGCAAACAAATCATGGTTGATTTTACTGAAGCTACCCTTGAAAACCAGAACAGCTACTTTTTAGATCCCAATTTATACTATGGCCTATGTACAAAGCGTGTCACAAGCTTCAAGACAGATCTATTTCAAATCATTATGACCAATTTCAGTAGTGGACTGTTTACATTTATGTTTTATTTTGCTGTATCAGTATCTCTATTAGTCTTGTTATTTTACTGTCTTCATTGAGTCTTTGAATTTTACAACAGCTAAAGAAATCCTATTTATTTAGCATTTAATAAATTGAGAGTATTAAATAAAGCAAAACCAGCTAACATCATCTCATCTTACCTTACATATAAACTCAATGTCTTCTCTTTCAATATCTTTAATCACCATGATCTTCATTTTGTTCAAGAAATGCAGTGCTAGATCACTCAGAGCATCCCTGAAATCAATACAATAAATGAGTTATAATGGCAATTAATTTTTGTGATGAGACCTGATTTCTGATCAGGTTCAGAAAAGTTCAAAGCTTCCTGTTCAACTTCACTATCCCAAGAATGATTTAAAACCTAAGTACAACTGATTACTAATTAGCACAATTAATATAAGATCCCAGGATACTTACCGCAGAATAGATTTTTGAATGAGCAGGACGTTGCATCCTGCTTTCTTGATCTGCTTAACAAGATTCAGAATGTATGCTCTTTCTTCACGCAGAACTCTGTCCATTTGAGTGTAGTCAGAAACAACTATCTGGTTATCCATCTAACAGGGGAAAAACATTTCATTACCTAAACATAACTGTATAACTATAGGATACACTATCTACACTCAAAGCAGTAACCTGGAACTTAAGCAATAAAACAGAATTTTGAGCTTTGGCTCTGTATAAGAATATGCAGTCAAGAGCAACTTTCTTCTATGCCATGACCCTTTTCCACACTCAAAGTTGACTAGTTTGTAAAAGTTCTTAAGATTCCTGCAAAGAGTCTTGGTCAGCTACTGCAAGACACCTGTCACATTTTTGATCCTTTAAATTACATCAGTCACTCTTTATGCTTTCATCCTGTCTAAATATAACACACATTAATGAGCCACAAAAATTCTGCATAAAGGGCAAACCTATGCCTATCTACTGAAAAGTGAAATGTATTGCTGTCAATGAGGTTTACTGCCAGGTACATGTTCTTTAGACTGTAACCATAAGCAAAAACAGGTAACAAAAAAAACAGATAACCTCTGGTCACATTATTAGTAAACTAACATAAATTAATATAACCTAGCTGAATTCTCTTAAAAGCTTTAATTATTAAGACAAAAATATCATAACAATGAATAAATACAGAAAAATCAACTTACATCTGTTTTGGGAGCTGACAAGCAAAACTGAATGAGACCTATTTTAGCTTTCTCCACCCTCGTTACACCAGTATTGAGCACCTTCTGTGTGAGGACCAGTCCTTCAACCAATTCACAGTCATCAATTGTTCCTCTAAAAATAAACATTCAGTGAGCTACTGAACATAAGAATGTCATCCTTCCACAACCTGAATTTTTCAGAAAATCACTACTTACCCCAGCTTTTTAACGATTTTGATATCTCTAAGATCCACACTATTAGCTGTAGTAGGATCTATCACCTTCATCACTGCATCCACACTCATTGGGGAAAGCAGACTAGAATACTGTGACACAACCTGCATAAAGTTGAAAATTACATTTAACTTAGACCAGTTTTTCTAAATTAAACACACTTGCAACAAAAGTTCATCAAAGTGAAATATTCGCCCACGTTAAGAACCACTGTTCTAAATTAAACACGCAACAAAAGTTCATCAAAGTGAAATACATATCAAACAAAATAAATAAGCATTCTTCTTTGCCACCACTGTGTCTGCACAATTGTCACTCAGAGTTGTATTGAGTGATAAGTTATATTGTTACTTTGAGTTGTCTAGGTCCTATGATGTACTGATCCACAATTAACTACACACCAGCTGTGTACATTTTGCTCAGATCCACTCTACCATAATTGATACAAATCCTGTGGATGTAAATCTGGCACCTGCTTGCCCTGGGTTATTGGATCCATTTTGAATTTATGCTGGCTAAGTGTGTGAACTCTTTCACGGATTGCTGCGTTGTCGTGGCGAAGGGGCTTGAGTAATTCAGAGAAGCTATGGGCTATGCTATGAAGGGACACCCAAGACGGACAGGTCATAGTAGAGAGTTCTGACTAAACGCAATCCATCTGGAGCAAGAACTGGCTAGCCACTCCAGTATCTTTGCCAAGAAAACTCCAAGTCTAAAGGACATGACACTGGAAGATGAGGTCCTCAGGTCGGAAGGTGTCCAATATGCTACTGAGGAAGAGCGGATGACAAGTACAAGTAGCTCCAGAGATAATGAAGTGGTTGGGCCAAAGCTGAAAGGACGCTCAGCTGCGGACACATCTGGAAGTGAAAGGAAAGTCCGATGATGCAAAGAAAAATACTGCATAGGAACCTGGAATGTAAGATCTATGAAGCTAGGTAAGCTGGATGTGGTCAAACAGCAGATGGCAAGAATCAACATTGGCATCCTGGGCGTCAGTGAACTAAAATGGACGGGAATGGGCAAGTTCAATTCAGACGATTATCATATCTACTATTGTGGGCAAGAATCCTGTTGAAGAAATTGAGTAGTCCTCATAGTCAACAAAAGAGTGGGAAAAGTTGTACTGGGATATAATCTCAAAAATGACAGAATGATTTCAACAGGAATCCAAGACAGACTTTCAACATCACAGTAATCAAAGTTAATTGCACCAACCACCAATGCTGAAGAGGCTGAAATTGACCAATTCTATGAAGACTTACAACACCTTCTAGAACTGACACCAAAGGAAGATGTTATTGTCATTATGGGGACTGGAATGCTAAAGTAGGGAGTCAAGAGATAAAAGGAACAACAGGTAAGTTTGGACTTGGAGTTCAAAACGAAGCAGGTCAAAGGCTAATCGTTTTGTCAAGAAAACAAGCTGGTCATCACAAACACTCATTTCCAACAACACAAGAGACGAGTCTACACATGGGCATCATGAGTATATTCTATGCAGCCAAAGATGGAGAAGCTCTATACAGTCAGCAAAAACAAGACCTGGAGCTGATTGCGGCTCTGATCATCAGCTTTTTATAGCAAAATTCAAGCTTAAACTGAAGAAAGTAGGAAAAATCACTGTGTTAGTCAGGTGTAATCTAAATCAAATCTCTTATGAATACACTGTGGAAGTGAAAGCAAAGTGGCTGTCCAAAGAGGTCTTACAAATAGCAGAGAAGAGACGGGAAACAAAAGGCAAGGGAGATAGGGAAAGTTAAAGAAAATGGAATGCTGACTTCCAAAGAATAGCAAGGAGAGACAAGAGAGCCTTCTTAAATGAACAGTGCAAAGAAATAGAGAAAAATAATAGAAAAGGAAAAACCAGAGAGCTGTTCAAGAAAATTGGAGATATTAAAGGAACATTTTGTGCAAAGATGGACATGTTAAAGGACAAAAATGGTAGGGACTTAACAGAAGCAGAAGACATCAAGAAGAGATGAGGAATTATACCAGAAAGATCTGGATGTCCCGGACAACCCAGATAGTATGGCTGCTGACCTTGAGCCAGACATCCTGGAGACTGAAGTCAAGACGGCCTGAGAAAGGATGGGTAACATCAAAGCCAGTGGAGGCGCTGGCGTTCCAGTTGAACTATTTAAAGTCTTAAAAGTTGACGCTATTAAGGTGCCACACTCAATCTGACAGCAAGTTTGGAAAACTCAGCAGTGGCCAGAGGATTGGAAAAGATCAGTCTACATTCCAATCCCAAAGATGGGCAGTGCCAAAGAATGCTCCAACTACCGTACAACTGCACTCATTTCACACGCTAGCAAGGTTATGCTCAAAATCCTCCAAGGCAGGCTTCAACAGTATGTGGACCGAGAACTCTTCCAGAAGTACAAGCTGGATTTCAAAGGTGCAGAGGAACTAGAGACCAAATTGCCAAAATGCACTGGATTAGGAGAGAGAGTTCTAGAAAAACATCTACTTCTGCTTCATTGACTACGTACAAGAGTGGACCACAGCAAACTATGACAAGTCCTTAAAGAAATGGGAGTGTTTGACCACCTCATCTACCTCCTGAGAAATCTTTATGTGGGACAGGAAGCAACAGTTAGAACTGGATATGGAACTGGACATGATTGGTTCAAAATTGGGTAAGGGTATGAGAAGGCTGTATATTGTCTCCCTGCTTATTTAGCTTATATGCAGAATACATCATGTGAAAGGCTGGATTGGAAGAATCCCAAACCGGAATTAAGATTGCCGGAAGAAATATCAACATCCTCCGATATGTAGATGATACCACTCTGATGGCAGAAAGTGAGGAGGAATTCCAGAACCTCTTAATGAGGGTGAAAGCGGAGAGCACAAAAATAGTCTGAAGCTCAACATTAAAAAAACTAAGATCATGGCCACTGGTCCCATCACCTCATGGCAAATAGAAGGGGAAGATATGGAGACAATGACAGATTTTATTGTCTTGGGCTCCCTGATCACTGCAGATGGTGACAGCAGCCACAAAATTAAAAGACACCTGCCTCTTGGGAGGAATACGCTGACAAACCTAGACAACATCGTAAAAAGCAGAGACATCACCTTGCCGACAAAGGTCCACATAGTTAAAGCTATGGTTTTTCTAGTAGCGATGTATGGAAGTGAGAGCTGGACCATAAAGAAGACTGACCATCAAAGAATTTATGCTTTTGAAATGGAGGAGACTCTTCCCTGGACTGCAAGGTGATCAAACCTATACATTATTAAGGAAATCAACCCTGAGTGCTCACTTGGAAGGACAGATCCTGAAGCTGGGGCTCCAATACTTTGGCCATCTCATGAGAAGACTCCCTGGAAAAGACCCTGATGTTGGGAAAGTGTGAAGGCAAGAGGAGAAGGAGACGACAGAGGATGAAATAGTTGGACAGTGTCATTGAAGCTACCAACATGAATTTGACCAAACTCCAGGAGACAGTGGAAGACAGGAGGGCCTGGTGTGCTCTGGTCCATGGGGTCATGAACAAGTTGGACATGACTTAACAACTAAACAACAACAACAATAAAATATGTGAATGAGACCCTTGGGCAGTTGTGTTGCTGGACCATTTTTAGGCAAGGTGCTGGACCATGTGGTGGCCTCCCAACTCCATAGGTTGCTACATGGAATAGATTATATAGATCCACTACAGTCTGGCTTCAGACCCGATTATGGAACCAAGACAGCTTTGGTCACCTTGTTGGACAACCTATGCCAGGAACTGGACAGAGAGTAGGCGTCCCTGGTGGTTCTGCTGGACCTTTCAGCAGCTTTAAATTCAATTTCACCATGGAATCCTTCTGGGTTGCAGCACTGAGACTTTCCAGTGGTTCGAGTACTTCCTGGATGGGTGAATGCTGAGGATGATGCTGGACAACTCTTGTTTGACATCCTGGCCATTTGCCTCAGAATTCTGTTCTGTCCACTACACTATTTAAGGCTGTTTACAGAGTGTTAAGGTCTGGTGTCATCAGTATACAGATGCCCTAACTCTGGCTCTCCTTTCCATCCAGTTCCAGGAAAACTGCCTTGGCACTAAACCAGTGCTTAATATCTTCAACTAACTGGATGAGGGCAAACAAACTGAAGCTTAACCCTGTCAAGACAGAGGTGCTTCATTATGTATTAGCTATGGTTACATAATACCCTGAAAACTCAGGTACATAACTTGGGTGTACTCCTGAATTCATCCCTGAGCCTGGATGTTCAGGTTTTGGTGGTGGCTAGGAGAGCATTTGCACAGTTAGAGCTTGTGCACCAGCAGCACCCATTTACGGAACTGTCTAACTTGGCTACAACACATCTTAAGTTACATGGCCTCATCTGAAGTAAAGTAACACATTCTATATGGAACTAATTTTGAAGCCATAATTCTTCCATATAATTCCATATAAGTCTTCTTGCCACCATAAAGATGTCCAGTGAAGAACAGAATGAATAACTTCTCTGAATTTCTTATTTCTGTGACAAAGTTACCAAATACAAAGAAAAAGAGTTCATTTATCACAAGCAATTCTGCAAAGAGTAAGCAGAAGTAAAAAGAATCTGACAGGTACAGCTTGCCACAAAATGTGCTTAAACTACTACTTTTAAAGGCAATCTTGACATTAAATTGAGGTATCATGAGCATCCAAAAGGAACTGCTCACCTCTTCCAAGGCAATTGTGAGAAAAACTCCAAAGACATATTAAAATTTCTTGGGCCAGTCTTAAACTTTCTGCACATCAGGCGTCTGCGGCATTCTCCCAACATTAAAGAAGGCAGGTGCTACTTCGGTAACTTATTAGCCAATAATGGTACATATAATTTGTACTTAGAACACGACCCAGCGCAGCAGTCGGGGCGGTGTTGAAAGTAACCAGTGTTGATTAGTAAATTTAAATTTCCCACACTTTTCCCCTGCTTTTTTTCTTTCGTAGGTCGAAGCTCCGGCCACAAGTAAAAGCAAAATTTTGTGGCCGGAGCTTTTCATAACTCGAAAATTTCATAAGTAGGGACATTCGTAAGTCGAGGCCCCACTGTACCTTTGAATTCAATGCTGTAGTTGCACTGTTAAGCAAGGTTTCTCTGTCACTCAATTCAACTGGCTGTCCCATACTGGTTAGGATTTCCACACCTTTCTCCAGTGCTTTCTGGAATGACTCGGAGATTATGGTGGGGTGAATTCCTAGTTGTAATTTAAGAAAAAAAATTATTGAATCAACAAGCAGTACATAAATTTTAAATTATCTGAAAAACTGTTTTCGGGTGAAAATGTAATTATATTTTAACATTGTTCATTTACATAATCCTTCTCCATTTATTGCCCTTGAACTTTATATGAATTAAATACTGGTTGGAATTGTATTACTTATATCCACTGCCACAACACCTGCAATGTAACTCCAAACAACAGATTGGTGTAGACATTTCCTACAGCAGTGTGCAATAGGAAATGCTTACTCAGACTTCTTAATCTGCAGCAATTTGCCCTTGTAAGTTGTGACACATGACATTCCCTTTATGGCACTAGAAATATACAATATAATTCCAGCCATTATCTTCAAACAAAATGATCAGCAACTCAACTAGTTTTAAGTATATTCAGTCTGGGTGTCCATACATGCACATAAACCATTATCACACCCCCATGCATAACGCTCATGCCACCCTTCCAGCCCATCACTGATAGATCTATCACAGAGACAAACTGTTACAGGATAAATAGCATATAAAAGTATACCTAAGCATGATATGTAGTGTGGTATAGTGGATTAACAAACCATGACTCGGGAGGCCTAGTAAACTAAAGAATGGGGCTGTAGACAAAGGTAGTATACACTTACCAAGTCTTCCAAACAAACAACCACACAATAAAATCTATTAACCTATCAATGTTTTCATTTGTCTCAAGCAGAAAAAGAATGAACCAGGCTTCACCTAAACAAAACTGGCATTGATTGGTTGACCGGAAAGAGATACTTCTTTTGCCAAAGTATGATAATTAAAACAACAGTCATAATAACGGTTCTGTCTATTTTCTCAGTTTAAAGCAAGTTAATTTTAATTTTTTTAACAAACAGTACATGTATACACAAATGATTAATAAACAGATTAAACCCAAAGTGTTATCGGTACCTTTTTGAAGAAGTCTGGAGCAGGCATCCAGGAGAGCACCTGCAATAACTACAACAGAAGTAGTGCCATCTCCTGCTTCAATATCTTGTGCTTTGGATAACTCCACCAACTACGGATGACAAGAAGTTAGAAATCAGTCACACAGATGTATTTCATTCAGATTCCCTCAAAAGTAGGAAAACCACAGATAACAGGATACAATCTCAAGTTTAAATTGACCCAGTCATTTTCCATGAGAGATGGCTAATAAAGTCAACAATAATGTATAATTTGGCAGCATCTCTGGCCCATAGATGAAATTTGAAATTCAGTATTACTTGCCATTTTGGCTGCAGGGTGAAGAACTTGCATCTGCTTCAGAATGGTGGCGCCATCATTTGTGATTGTTACATCTCCTTTGCCATCCTGGATCTGGAAAAGCACAACCAAAGATTTTTGGACATCAATTCAAAACAGGAAAAAAAAATCTACAAATCAAATACAACCAACAATGCTGGTTTATACTGCATTCCAGAAATCTGCAGACTAAAACTGGCTCATTATACTAGGATAGTATTCCCATTTTAGTCCAATGCTTTAGCAGCCTTCCCTTCATTTTTGACACCACAGCTGAAGGCTGCTTCTCACTTCACCTGGCAGTTACATTTGCCAAGGGTATGCCAGTATTTCCCACAGCATATGTGTGTGTGTGGGGGGGAATTATGAAAGCACATCATTCATTTGCACTTCTTTTGAGAGTCAACTAGGCTGCCATCTCGTCCCCTTTTCCACAGATATAGGCCTGTATTTTATTTCGACTTTCTTTTCCTGCCACCTGAAATTTGTTTCCAACTTGGAGAAGATCACAGGCCACAATTTGCCCATCTATGGTCAGAAGGATGTCTTCCTTCTTTCAGTTGCTTATTTTTTATCATCTTTTAATATACAGTACTTTCAAGTTATTTCAAAATATTTTATTTAGTTATTGTTCAATGGGTTCATCTATTGCACTCTGTAGGTATTTAACAGCTTTTCAGTACTGCAATTTTTAAACTACCTTTGCGTCTTTAAAATACCTTGTGAATATACTTGACTCATTTTGCTGGGAGAGTACAAAAAAATGAAGCTCCTACATATTCCTAGGTAGTTATTTCTAATGAAGACATTCAAGACTCCCAGCACAGAATTATATTCTACCACTAAGCCTTTTCTTGGCTACTAAGGATGCTTCAACAAATTCAGCAGCTTCCCAGCTGTTAACAGGATGGGTTTGGATACAGAATGAATTTGATTTAAATCATATTAATTTAAATCGCAATTTAAATTTTTAAAAAACAGATTTTTGACAACTGAAACCAAAAAAATCATTTTTAATTTAAACTGTTATTTAAATAAATTGATTTTTTAATCATTGATTTTTACTCACTCTGTTCAGAACTAACAGCAATTTTAAATCATCTATACATTGGCTAGAATCCAAATGAAAAACCAGGTTACACTTCTTTTCTGCATGCAAAAAATTGAATCTTTATTGGGGGGGGAGAAATGTTATACAAAACTATAGAGCGCATAACACTCTAAACTACATGACAACAGTATTATTGGGATGTCACATGCCTTCACTTACTCTACCTAATGGCAATTCACTACTGAGATTAACAACAACATGCTTCCACTGATAGGTATAATTAAATGGACTTTGGTCAAACTATTATATACTACAGAGCTTCAAGACTTACCATTTTATCCATTCCCTTTGGCCCAAGGCTTGTTCTAACAGCATCTGCAACAGCTAAAATTAAGATATACACCAACAATTAGTGTATTACTCTCAAATATTTTCTTAAAACTGCTTTTTCACAACCGGAAAATACACATTGGTTAACACACTGATTTATTCATTCTGTATGTACTTTCTTTCTGCAGGCATAAATTTCAGCCTCAATTTGAGAAAAACAATAAAAAAGGAAAAGTACTTATATAAAGCTATGTCGCACATAGCAGACTTTAAGCTGCATGACAATAATATTATTCGGATGTTCAAGATATTCCTCCAACCAAAAATGTAACAGCAAGGCAAAAGCAGTACTGTATTTTATTCAACGAGACATCAAGTTTATGACTACCTTCCATAAAAGGCAACACTTATTTCAAATCATACATCACATGATGTGCCCAGAAAAAATATATTTTATAGCGGAATAAGGCAATTGTGGTGATGAGGCAACTGCAGGATAATTTGGACCACTATATTGATTTAGAACAGGAAAATAAATGAAGAAGGTGACAGAACTGTGTAAAATTACGCATGGAATAAAAAAGCATACAGAGCAAAAATTGTTTATTGTTTCAAAATACGAAAACTCATGCTCATCTACTTTAGCTTGTATAGTGGCAAACCAGTAATTCTCCGCACACAATAATAATTAATCTGAGAAATTCACTACTGAAAGATGCAGTAATGGCCCATCAACTGATATCAGTTTAAAAGACAGGACAAATTTCATAGCTCGAAGTGCAATGTCTTAAATGGTGGTTCCAAGATGATAAGTAAAATAATGGCACTGTATACCCACTGATGGGCAAAATAAATGGGATGATGCTACTGCACTCACTTCCTGCCTCTAGGCTTCCATAGGTATCTGTCTAGCGGCTAGCCACTGTGGAAAAGCAAAGATGCTAGGCATCTGAGTCTAAAGAAACAGGGCTTTTATTGTCCTGCCTGTATTAGTATTAGGAAATACTATATAATCTTCAAAATCACTAGCATAGAATTTATTTATCTTCTACACAATTGGCACACTATAGTAATATCATAAAACAACGGGCAGTTCTCTCCAACACGTCGTTTTTGAAAGAGTAAGCTCTATTAGCCTGCACAGGTGCAGCAGACAAAAGAGAGACAAAAATGTTGTGCCACTTTAAAGGCTGCTGTTTTAGTCTATAAAAGTTAACGTTAAAATGCAGCAGTTAGCTTTTAGTCTGCCACGACGTTTCTGTCTTTCCCTTCCGTTTTTGTTCTCTTTGTTTTGCCTGATACATTTCCAAAATGTTCCTACTGAATGTAGTCCTCTGCAGATGCACTGATTTCATGGAAAGTCTTTCACAGGAACTCGCCTAGGTCAAGGGAGAAGTGCTATGAAGCTCAAGCGAAGGATATGAATGAAATCTATATTTTTCCCCTTTCTCTCCCTCTGGACATCTTGCCCTGACTTCCATCACGGGCGACCGACCCCACCCCACCCTTCGCCCTTCCGATGCAGGACGTAATGCCAGGGCGGCGGCGGCCCCTTTGTGCGTCTTCTGGACCCGAAGCGTACTTAGCGGCGCCTGGCTAGCGGGGCAGCCTCGGCCCGCACCGTTCGCCTCTCTCTCTTTTTTTTTTCCTCCCTCGAAGCAACGGGAAGGGGCGGCCAGGCAAGGGCGGGGCCGTTACCTTTGCCCGCAGAGATGTTGCTGAAGCGGATCTGGGTAGGCTTGTCCCGATCCTGGTAGGAGCCACGGTTCCCACCGCCGGAGTTCCGGTTCCCCGCGGCCGCATTCATAAACGCCCCCTTCGTGCTCGCGTTCTCCGGCATAACGGCACTCGGCCACCCTCTCGGCGCTCTCGATGGAAACGGATTCTCTTCCCTCGTCTCAGCCCCGGATAACGCTTCGCGCCCCACAAGAAGCTTCCAGAATGCGCCGAGATCGCCCGAAGAAGAAAGGACCCTTCGGCAGCCGCTCACGGTGGCGGCGAGAATGACGTCCCACAGAGGGCTGTCTAGCGCAGGTGCCTTTGCTGTGTAAAGAAAAACGATTCGCCTCTGCGCGCGCTGTGTGCGAGGAAGAACGGCGGGGGTGGGGTGGGGGGAGAATTCCCTTGGGCGGAAAAAGGGATTGTGCACAAGGCCGAAATTTCGAAGGCGTCATTCAACACCGGCGACGAAGACCAACTGGCAAATGAGTTAGTCAGCTAAACCTATTTAACTCTAAACTGCCCGGAATTCTAACTCGAACCATATACTGTACAGTACTGTATACGTTTATTGTACAGATGGTTGGTAAGTTTGGTGAGGACTTTGTTGGTCTGTTCGCTTGGTTGTGTTATTTTATGGTACTGTGCTAGATGTCTATTTGGGATTACAGTATTTGCATTTTTATTGCAGGATGGTTTCTGAGACTATCATCCAATTTGCGTTGTACGGGAAAAAACGATATGTTTTAGGCGAATAAATATTATCTAAACTGCGCCATCCAGGTACACAATACTTCATATGAGAAAACAGATCCCTGCTTCGAGGGCAGTTATTATTATTGGAAAGTTATTATTATGAAGAAGGATCATGACGGGACACCAAAGGAGCAGAGATCTACTTTTCAGTATATGGGGGTGGGGGTTTAATGCCTTTTGATCCACGAAAGATCTCACGGAACTAGATCCGTTAGTCTTTAAGGTACCACAATGTGTTGTCCTCTCCTTCCCACCTCTTTTGGTCAATATCACGAGGCACGGGAGCCCACCACAATTGTACAGCGGAGGATGATTAGTAGCACTAGACGCCTAGAGGGTATAAAGTGTTTTCAAAGGAAAAGAGTTAAGTGCTATTAATTAAAAAACATTGTGCAATTATTTCATCAATCCCTTCCTTACTGATTTTTTAAATGGGAAAAAACGGAAAGGGAACATTAATAAATAGGAGGCAACCTACAAAACTCGCAAATAGAAGTTAACCTTACTGACTTCTGCCTATAAATGCTTACCTTCGCATGAATGAATGAGTCAGGAACACACAGACAAAGGATTAATTAAAAAATATTGTAATAAATTGCCACAGTCAGGCATATGAAGCAGCTGCAAAATAAAAAAACAAATTCCTGTTGGATTTTGCCATGCAAAACCACATGTGGTTTTAGTACTGTATTTTGTTCACTGCCCATTGTACTATCATTTGTATGATCAGTTGTGAAACCGGGGCATCGCTGGGTACATGACAGAGAAAGAGCGGTGCTTCCGTCAGTGCCTTTTCACAACTGTGTAATTGAATGAGATTCTCATCCAAGTTCTTAAGCTTGAACACTGCAAATAGTAGCAAGCTGCACGACACAAATCAAATTCAACTTTTTTGACAGCACTTATATGCTCATTTGCTTGAGAGTAGCTTCACTGGAATCAGGAACTTCCAAGTAAGCTTTCATAAGTGACTCCAGAGGAAGTTTAAGATTAATCCTTGAAGTATTCAAGCAACCCTTTCAGGTACAGATGGAATACATTTCCAGTGCATTCTCTCACTGTTTCATATTTTTGCACTTTTTTGATGGGTCACGATTGCAAAGTTGTTAATACATACTACGTTTTTAGTTAACAGAATCTTACACACAAAGTGAAAATGTAAACGCATTTGATTCATGCACAAGATAACTTAAGAAAGTACAAGCAGATAGTCACAGAGATAACATTACTACCACCAGACCAGTTACATCAGCTTCACTGGCTGCCAATCCATTTTGGGGCATAATTCAAAGTGCTGGTTCTAACCTACAAAGCCCTAAACAGCTTGGGTCCAAGCATGTCTCAAGGACTGTGTCTCTCTTTCAAGGGCCTTTCAGTCTCAGCATCTTCAGAGGTGTATTTAGTGGGAACACGGGAGAGGACCTCCGTTGCTGTTACCAGACTCTGGAACTCCCTCCCACAGGAGGCCAGACTAGCCCCATCTTTGTTGTCCTTCTGCAAGCAAACAAAGGCCCTTCTCTTCAGGCAAGCTTTCCCTTAATGACTGGCTGACTGAGTGGGGTTTTAAATAGATTGTTGTCTCTTACTGCCTTGAATGTGTTTTTGTTGTTGCTTTTGTTTACTGTTTATTTAGTGTATTTATTTGATCCTGTTCAGCATGTGTAACTGTTTTTAGGTTTAAATATTTTCTTTTTTAAATTTTTTAATTTTTATTTTCACAGAAAGAGAAGGAAAAAAACAAGGGAAAAAGAAAAAAAACTAACTGACCCCTCAAATTAAACTAACCCCTCCCCGCTTTGGAGTCAGAGACTCCAGCCTCGTTAACCCCTCTGCTCCCCCAATTTCATTTCCAGTATATACTGAGTACATATACATACATCATAAACTTTGCCCTACACTCCTGTCTTCTTCTGGGCCCAAGAATATATTAGTTCCCAGCTTTGTTTTACATAGTCTCTTGGTTGTTCCCGTAAGGCTTCTGAAAGTGTCCAGTTCTGCTGTGTCCCATAACTTATTTAACAGCTCTTCTATCTTTGGAACCTCTTCGGTTTTCCATTTTTGCGCCCAGAGTAATCTGGCTGCTGTGAGTATATACATAAGACAATGCTTCAATTTATTATCATTAATTCCTGATATGACATTCAGTAATGCTATTTCAGGTTTTATATCTAATTTCTGCTGGGTAATTTCTTTTGCTAAGTCCCATACCTGTGTCCAATAATTTTTGACCTTTTCGCCAGGTTTAAATATTTTCTTTTGCTGGTATAAGCCACTTTGGTTTCTTTTGAAGGAGAAATATGGGTGAAAATTTTTTTAAATAAAATGTTAAATAAATAAAATTGATGAACAAGCCTTGCACCAGATCACTTTAATATTTTGGACACCTTGTATGCAAATTTAATCTTACTATGCAGCTCTAAATAACATCTAAATACACCTTAAATTTTCAAATCAAAAGGTACAAATTGTTAATGTACAGCACAGAATCATGTGGAAAAAAAGTGCACCTTATTTGAATGTTATAGTTTTACTTATCGGGACACAATAAAAATCATCTGGTCCTTAGCAGGTCTTAAAATTAGGCAAATACAAGCTCAGATGAACAACAACACATGACATATTACACCATGTCATAATTTATTTAACAAAAAAAAAAAAGCCAAAATGGAGAAGCTATGTTTGAAAAACTAAGTACAGTACTGTATACACTTAATGCTTCCATAGGAATTAAGAGGCTAGTAAGTAGCAGCCAAATGCTGCTAACCAAATGCCTTTGCATAATGGATCATGAACAAGCCGAATCATCTCTATAAAGGCTGAAGTTTTAGCAGTTTGCTGATCTGGAGCATTAACACAATGCTAAGGAGAAAACACATCAGCTATGATCTTAGAGAAGCTGATAACCTGGGGACCTGCAAAGGTCGGGGCACGGGGGGGAGGCTTAGAATCAGTAATTTTTAATTTTCAGAAAACTGCTGGGTATAATAGGTGTGTAAAGAGGATTTCGACCCATATGTGCAGGAAGAGCAACATGATTTATGCTAAAGAAAATACAATTGCAAGTTGCTTCTAAACATTTTTGAAACTGCGCAGTTTGTCAACATCTCCTGGGAAACTTTTAATGCCAAGAAATATAATGGAATGTCACTTAGTTTTTTAAAAAATGCACAAGTTTAATGAACATATTCATTTACGTAAAAAGTTAAATAAGCATATAATTATAGAATTGTAAGGCCCCAGAATTCTTTATTTGCCAAGAAGACAAATATTACGTATTATGGTTGTTGTGGTTTTTTTTGGGGTCTTTGGCTGTGTTCTGAAGGAGTCAGAACTCCGTCTGTGCACCCAGACTCCTGTTCTCTGGAGAGGCCGGTCACAGAGACTGGCGAAACATTAGGAAGAACAACCTTCAGAACACAGCTAAACAGCCCAAAAAACTTACAACAACCATCAGATCCGGCTGTGAAAGCTTTCGAGAATACATTACATATTATGTCAGCAAATTTAGATATAGAAAATACATATTTTCCATACGTAAATGTTAACTGATGGAATCTTTTTATATATTGCTGTATGCTAATGTTTTTATGTTTTTTAATTGTTTTTGATATTCTGTAAGCCGCCCAGAGTGGTAGAATATACCAGATGGGCGGGATATAAATCGAACAAATAAATAAATAATAATATAGATATATAGATATTAACAATTTAATCCCTCTTAAGCACATAATTAATTGCTGATTTAAAAACTAAAGGGAAAAAAGGCCTATTCCTTGAAATCTTAACTACTGTAAATTTCATGGAAAAGAACAAGAGTTCGCATGTTACCAGAAACAGCATAAAAATTGTGGTGAGACTCTCAGTGATTAACATTTAAATTGCTAAGCAGTAATCATTTTAATATGAAAGTGTTGAAATGTGCCCCAGGGTTGGTAGGTGATGAGACATAGCCCTCAATTATGTAATTAATGTAATTTCAATTTTATTTTTACGGGTTTGGCAGAACCTTAAGTTGCATTCACTTTGAGATGCCACTCATTTAATATTTTATAGATCAAGAAATCTTATTACAGAAAAAACAGAATAGGAAAATCATAACCAGGCATTTTACGCTCTTTTGTCAAGAGGAGGGATATGGCAAACTCAGTGATTAACATTTAAATTGCTAAGCAGTAATCATTTTAATATGAAAGTGTTGAAATGTGCCCCAGGGTTGGTAGGTGATGAGACATAGCCCTCAATTATGTAATTGATGTAATTTCAATTATATTTTTACGGGTTTGGCAGAACCTTAAGTTGCATTCACTTTGAGATGCCACTCATTTAATATTTTATAGATCAAGAAATCTTATTACAGAAAAAACAGAATAGGAAAATCATAACCAGGCATTTAACGCTCTTTTGTCAAGAGCAGGGATATGGCAAATGTTTGTATATTGAAGGATTATGTGCAGGGTGACCACTCACTAACGTAGAGAAAACAGGGCTCACAAAAAAACAGGATGCAAAGAACAATTTGTTGTTGTGCCGCCAAGTCACTTCCAACTTATGATCTTATGAAGGAGCAATCTCCTAAATGTCCTGTCCTCAACCGCCCTGCTCAGCTCTTGTAAACTCAAGCCTGTGGTTCCTTCAGAGAGTCAATCCATCTGATACCTGGTCTTCCTCTTTTCCTGTCACCTCCAACCTTTCCCAGCATTATTGTCTATTCCAGAGAATCCTGCTTTCTCATGATGTGCTCAAAGTAAGACAGCCTCAGTTTCATCATTTTTGCCTCCAGAAACAGTTAGGACTTGATTTGGTCTAGGACTCACTTGTTTTTCTTTCTGCCTGTCTATGGTATCTGTAAAGCTCTCCTCCAGCACCATATTTCAAACATATTTTTCACCATATTTCTTAACCGACCAGATAGGCGGGATATAAATAAAATAAATAAATAAACAATTCCACCCCCGGAAACTTTATTTACTGTGCATCTTTGACATCCATACAAAGTGATCGGTAGGGAGAGGATTTCTATGACATGTCACATCTTTTGAAATGTGCCCCACTTGTGTGCATACTAAGCTGCAGACCAAGGCTTCTCCTTCCTTCTGCCCCTGCCAAGAGTGATTGCAGCCTGTGTGATTCTTGTGAAGTATCACTTTCAGCAGCCAGGCTCACTACCTGGTGTGGAAAACTAGGCCCCAGGAATGCAATGGAGCCATTCCTTCACAAAATAAAGGTTTTCACTCATCCACATTTGCACAGGGAAAATAGGGACATGTGGAAATTTTAAGCCGTGTAGATGAGCAATAAAAATGATGCAGTCATGAGGGTGTGGCCAGGCAACACAAGGCATGGTCAAAAATATTAATGAGGAAGCACAGACAAAACCATAACATATTAAACACATTATTTTGAATATCTGTATTGCTCTTAAGGAAACATGAAAAAAGAAATAAAAAATAATTATTGACATGGCACTTTCTAAGTGTGCAAAATGTGTCACATGATCACCCTACAGGCTGCTGTTTGCCCAATTTGGGAAAACATGTGTTCCACTATAATAATAATGTGCCATAAAGTAAATTACAACCTGTTATGACCCTCTATAGGTATAAAATAATGATGTTGGAACTGCATAGCTGGATTTGTTACTCCCTTTTGCTGAGTATGTTCTGGAATTATGTAGCTTGCCCTAGGGCTCATTGCACTGTATTTAAAATAATAAACCACAGTGATGCCAAAATGGAAGGATAATGCAGGTTCTTGCTATTTTAAATTGTTGAGTTTGATTTTTACTTTTTTTTTCTTCTAGTGCATTTCTTAAATGCTTAGAGGGTGTGTGCATTTATAATACTGACAGGGTGTCAAAAGTTTTGTTGATTGCTATGGAAACTAAAGAGGAAATGTTGCAATCACCCTGATAAAAGGTTTTATATACTACATAAAGTTTTTTTCTGTATGAGGGTGTCAAAATTTTTGTTGATTGCTATGGGAACAAAAGAGGAAATGTTGCAGACACCCTGATAAAAGGTTTTATATACTACATAAAGTTTTTTTCTGTATGGTTTTTTTTATAATCTTGCTGGTCTGTGACCATAATAATGATGATGATGATGAAATTAAAGAAACCATTCCAAATTCCTGCAGAATAATTGTATCCATATCTGTACATGAAGGTCATTAAGATGTAAGTCTTTTATCAAAAACAGCAGAGTTCATGGCACCGAAGCTCTGATATATATTATTCTGCACTCTATTTTGGTCACTCCTTTTATTTTATTACAGTCCATGACCAGTAAAAGATATTAAACATTTGTAAGGTAGTAGCAATACTAAAACAGAAGAAAAAAAGAATTAAAAAAAGTTATAGCTTAAAACCATTGTTTCTCAACCTTTTGGCTAAATTCAATGTAGTCAGTTGTGTGTTCCATCTGCCACATACTGTATAGAGTTCCTGATTTTAAACTTTTAAAGAGCACATAGGCACACATACCTAGAGGTCTGCCTCTCCTGATTTGAGGCAGCATGAATTACGTTTTCTTCAGCAAGTTGTTGTTACTGTCTGTCCCATCTTTTGGTCTTAATAAGGTAGGAGAGATTTAGGACCAGGGCTTTTACTCTTAACAACCCTTGGCTTTGGTATTTTGTCTGAGGAGGTGAGAAACTCGTAAATGATGAGAGAAAAGACCAGGAGTACTTAATAATAACAAAAGCCGAATGCCAGGGGGAAAAACCCTTTAAAATCCAACCGTATCCCCATAGTCTTCAATAGACCGTGAGGTCTCTCTGCGAAATAGCTCCCAGAGGACGACCGTTTTTATTTCAGCAACTACTTGGATTCTTTTATATGCGTCAATGTTGTTAATAATTTGTCAGCCTTGATTGTTTCGTAATATTAACCAATGTTTTCGAAAGCCACATTCACTCGGGAGCATCCACTGGGTTTTGCTGGACGCAGTGATAATGAACTATCACAGTAAACCACGTCAGCTTTTCTTCAGGTCACTTTCAAATCCTGCCCCAGACACTTGCACGCAAACCTTACTGTTCCAGCCGCGGGTTTTATCTCTCCCGCAGTCTGCTCCTGAAAACCCCCTTCGGGTCCCAGGAGCCCGGCTGCCTTCACACCGTGACTCCAATGTAGAAAAAACCGCCCCCCTGCTTCCGGTGTTCAGTTACAGGCGCTCTCCTAGCCCGGGAGGCTCAAGAAGGCGGCCTAGGGCGCCGTCCAGGCATGTTCACAGCGGTCGCCCACAGGGGGCGATAAGGAGCCAAGGAGAACCGCGGTTCCAAGTCCGGGCTGCGAAGTTTGTCCGCGCTCGCTTCTCGTCCGGGTCCTTTTCCGGGGCCGCGGGCTAGGGTTCCTAACTAAGATGGCCGCTACCGGGGAGCTTCCTCCGCCCGAAACCGGCAAGCCTTTGCTTGGGCTCCTGAATGGCATCGCCCAAGCCACCTATTATGGCAACGCGGAGATCACAGAGGAGCTGCTGCGCGAACAGCTCTATCCGGAAACGGCGCCGCAGGAATTTGGCGTCCTGCGGGCCAAGATGACGGGGATCGTCAAGGTAACGGGGGCGGGGCTGCCAGGTTGGCGGGAGGGGAGGGGAGGGTGCTCTGTAGGAAGGCGGATAATTTGTGGCCCTACCGCGGGTCCGTCCCGTGGATGTATCGGGACTGCTGCACGTGTTCTTTGCAATGGGCCACATATGCACATGGCACGGTGGAGTGGGGGGGAGGAATAGTTGTGTTTCTTTAATTGGCCCAGTTGCCTGCACCGTTTATAAATACGGTGGTTTAGAAGCATTGCTGTGACCCGTTGCAGGTGAAGAGGGCAGGTTTGGCAGTGTCCCCTCCTATATTTTTGTAGGGCTTCTCTTGTTCTGCACAATATTATTTCCAAAGCCCCAAAGCGAGGGACTCAAGAGGGTAAGTGGGTTCTGCGCTCCCAAACCCCAACTCCCCCCCCCGCCATTTGGGGAACAGGGTGGAGGAGCAGGTTCCCCCCCCTCCTTGGCCTTCTGGGTTTGGCAGGAGGGAAAACTGGACCCATTGCAGCTCACTGGTTTTCACCAGCCACGCTGCATTACCCTTAAAAAATGTGGCCAACCAGGTGCTTTTGGGCAAGAACAAGACTCTGTCACGTACTTAAGTAAACCTGTATTTGTATCAACCTTTTTTAAATGGACCTGCGGACAAGACTATCTTTCATGCATCCCTTGCCATTTCTTCTATGAGAATAAACAATTGGATAAAGATCTTTCCTCAGCGTGGTTTTTGTTTTCTGCAAGATGATATATGCTTCACTTTCTCTTCAGAAAGGCCAATTGTCAGGCATGAGGCAGGCACCCCCCACCCAAAAAAAAGTCTTAGTTGACCTAGTCCCTCCTCCATTTTGTTAACAAAATAAAGTGGTTGTTTTCTAGCTTGGTACCTTACTCCACTTTATGAGTGTAGACTAAGAAAGAATTGAAAAGGTTATGATGATTCTTGCTTTGAATCCATGCTTTTGTGCCATAGTAGCAGGATGAAGTATAGCTCTAAAATGTTTGTGGCCTTTCAATACCCATGTATTATTTAATTTTAGTATGGATTTTGGCAGAAGATGGGGGAAATGCGTAAGATCTCTGAGGATCTGCCTCTTGGGCAGTAGTGACATGGTAAAGTACAAGATCTAGGACACCTCTGGTTCATTATTTGGACATTATTTGGACACAAATGTGGCCTGTGATTTGATAATGGTTTAGGAATGATGTAAAAATCACGTGAATCCATGAACTATGACATTTGATACATGTTTTTGTGTTATACTATTGCCATGAAGGAAGAAACTTGTGATTTTATGGCTGAGTCTTTGAACACTGATGTGTTCTGTAATTTCAGAATGGTTTGCAGAGATCTATTTTAAACACAGGACATTCATGGCCAACCATGCTTTTGAACCATATTTTTTCTACATATATATGTTATTTGGGGAAAGAAGACACTGATAAGGATTCTGTAGAATCTGTGTTAGTTTATATCAAGTGTCCCTCAAAACTCCATCCTTATAATTTTTATACAGTAGTGACATGGTAAAGCAAATAACTCTTGTTAATCAAACCATTGAATCAGCTGGCCAGTCCATATGCAAAAATAGTATTTGGTTGTCAAAAAGTAACATGTCTTGCATTTCAGGATGAAAGTTCACATTCAAAGGCAGAATGGTATGAATGTGTACTCTGGTGCTGAATGTGTAAAAAAGATCTAATACTAGTTTTTCTTACATGGGCATTGTTTTTATTAGTGGATTAAATACTTATACTGTACATTTGCACCACTTAATTTGCTGCCACTAGATGGCAGTACAGTGTTAGTATTCGTGAAAGTTCAGTTATTCCTAGTTCCAATTTTAATATGTATCTGGATTCATTGAGGAAAGACAGATTGTCTCTTAGTGTGTGCAAAGCATGTTATTCTGTTGGTATAAGATAACTTCTGTAGCAGTCTGTTATTTTTCTAATAGAATGAGCTACATAACTAATACGGTGGATATGTTTAAGATAAAATAAAAAATAGAGAAATTTTAGCTTAATTTATTTAAGCATGTTTTTCCTTTATTTTGATTTTTAGACCATTAAGGTTGATTACAGTAAAACAAGGGAAGTTGTTAATGACAGTGCAAAGAATAAAACAGTAGTTCCTCAGGTAGAACCAAAAATTTATAATAAAAAATTCAGAGCAGTGTTCCAGTCTCATCTCCACTCTGTGTACATTGTATAAAAAACTGAACTCAAACCTGGATCTCCCACATCTCCATCCAGTTCTGTAACTCTGTACTACACTATCTGCTTTTCGTTATAAGATTCTCCTGTTAATCATGGTTATCTCTACTCATGGGTTCAGATTCTATATCAGTTGTACTGTGTGACTTAAGGCATGTTCCTGAATGTTGCTGAATTTCATCTACAAGAACGTCTTCAGAGTTGTATCTACCCTTGGAGCAAAATTGTAGGAACCAAGATACTTGTCCTCATTTACATGTGAATTCTTTGATACAGTGGCGCCTCAATTTACGACCATAATCCGTTCCAGAAGATGGGTGTAACTCAAAATGGTTGTAAGTCGAAGCACTATTTCCCATAGGAATGCACTGAAATGCAATTAATCCATTCCAGCAGAAGAAAAAAATCACCCCCCTCCCAAAAAAATCACTGCAAGACTCATTGGAAATGCGATTAATCCCTTCTGGCCAAAGGGGGGGGGGAGAAAAGCAATCAGGCATGCAAGACCCGTTGGAAATGCACAGAAAACAAATGGAGCAGATCGGAAATGCAAAGAAACCAAAGGAAAAAGCAAGGGAAGCACACAGGACCCATTGGAAATAGGGAAAAACCCCAAAAGCAACCACCACCCCCAAGACCCATCACAGCACAGAAACATAACCCCCCCGCTCAAAACCATGCTGCAAAAACACCCAGAACAGTTTTTAAAAAGCAGAAAACAGCACCTTACCTTACCAGGCAGCCGGAAGCTTCCCTGCAAACACGCACACACTCTCTCAGAACCAGAAGTGAGGCAGCCCAAGCCTCCTCGGACCTACACTCTCTAACTGTTGGTGTGAAAGAGCTACAAAGAAGCAGCCTCGTCGCCACCTACAGTTAGAAATCTGAATTTCCCATCTTTTTCCCCTGCCTTTTTCTGTTCATAAGTGGAAGCTCCAGTCACAAGTAGAAGCAAAATTTTGCGGCTGGAGCTGGTCATAACTCGAAATGGTTGTAAGTAGGGATGTTTGTAAATCAAGGCACCACTGTATTAGGATGACTGTTTTTTTTAAGGGCCAGAACAAATATTAGTAATTACATCAGTGACAGTGAGCACATTATTTTTATGTTTTAAGTTTACATGCTACATCTTGTTTGAGACCATGAAGCTGACAAGATCTTCTCAAGGCATAGCAATTATTGCATTTATGAATGGATATTAATGTTATGTCCAAACTGCTGGAGTTTCATTTCTTTCTCTTTTTTAAATTGATAATTGTTTGAAGGAGTAGTATAGTCCACACACGTATTTTTTGTTGCTTACTTTGCTTATTTATTTACTTCTTTATTTACTTACTTTACATATTTATGAATCTTTTCCCACATCAAAAGGAGGTAAAATGAATAAAATACTCATTACATCTAATACACACAAAATGAATACAAACTAATGCAGCAATATTCACCTTTGAGTGACACCATTAAATTAAACAAATACATAGAGGGGAAAAGAAATAGAAACTAATCTGGGCTTCTGATCTGTATGGTGTTGACCTTAATTAGCACTCCATTTCTGTATATTTCATATGTAGCTTGTATTGCAGTTCATTTGACTGTTTTGTATTATCTCTTGTAGACACTGTCTTCTCCATGATCCTCTTTCCTGGGATCCTTGGTTCATGCTGATTTTTCAACAAACACTTTCTTAACAGTGCATTTCTCCTCCTTGTCGGTCGTCTTATTTATACATGTATTCCATCTTCAGGCAATGTGTACAATCAGTCCCACCATCACCTTTTGATGCTATGACGTGGCTCTTTAGGGTTACCAGGCCCCAGTGACAGAAGTTGCTCCCAGATGAGCCTGTTATTATGCATTCACTCTGTCTCAAACATGGAGGGAAGGAGGGAGTAGCTTGATATGCTGTCTTCTGCTTTTAGCTCTCTTGTGCTTTCTTGCTGTTTTTTCCTTCTCAAGGAAACAAAACGAAAAGAGCTTTTGCAGATTGTCCTGCAAATACAGGAAAATTAGTGAAGATGACACTTGTATTTGAGCTGACATCACATATCAGGAATTGGGCAAAAGAGCAAAGAGAAGATTTAGCAAACAGCCAAAATGGCTCTGCTGTAGCCAAATATTTAAGTGCTTTTTATTATGAACTCTGCTATCCACTCATTTAGTTCTTTGTAGCTGTAGCTTGATTTGATTACATCACAATAGATGCCAATTAATAGGCAAACACTGCAGCATGGCCAGCTATTTCAGTGTTCTGATATATTGGCATTAACATAGAAAGGTCTGTGGTTTTTTGTTCTGTTCTGTTTTGCTTTTTGATAGTAATTATGGTAAACTTTGAGATACAGTGATGTGCATAATAATAATTGCATGCTATCAGGTGAGTTCCAACTTAATTGCAGCCCTTTTAAAGTTTTCTAGGTAGAGAATACACAAAAGTATATTGTGTACAAAAGAATACACAAAATGTATTCACCCTCATGCCCCATTCTTGACCGTCAAGACTCAGAGCACATGAAGGCAAACAATCCCCTGTTTTACACTGCTGCCACCAGGTGATCACTAAATCACCATTTCTTCAGGAAGATTCAGGTCCACACTTCAAGGTCTTTTAAACAGAACTTTTGTTTATTGATTACAGAAATGTAAATTAATTCATTAAGATCTTCTGTAGGTAAAGTTGTTATTAACAACAACCTTCTATTTAATAATACACTCCTAATTCTAATCACACCTCAGAATTCCCCAAACTCCACACTCTTATCTCCTTTTCCCTTCTCTCACACTCTGACTCTTACTGACTGACTCTG